CAGCAGCCCAGCAGGGGACTGAAAATGATCTGAGGGGTTGGGAACACGGCTCAGTGATGGCACCCCTGCTTAGCATGCATGAGCCCCAAATTGGAGCCCCAGCGCCAAAACCACCTGAGAGGCTACAGCCTGACTTTGTGTGGAGTTTTACAAATGGTGAGACAAGGCTGAAAGCATGTATAAACACTGAAGAGGAATACTCTGCTTACGATTTTCTTGGGGCTGAGGATTCATAAAGAGGAAAATGAGAAAATTAGAAAAACAAGAGGAGGTCGAAGGGTAAGGTGCCTGTCCGGTAGCCCCGGCACTTGGGAGGCCGAGGTAAGGGAAGTGCTGCCAGCTCCAGGCCACTGTGGGTTACAGTGAGGGAAGGCTACCCTGGGACCCGGACTACACCAGCAAGACCCTGTCCCAAGACACACACACACAGGGGCAGCGGGGGAGACAGAGAGAGAGATGAGTATCCAACAATACAAAGTAGGGCCAGAGACTGGCAGACTGCTGTCAGACTCGCTCAGAAGCCAGTATCTGGGGGAACAGCAGGTATAAACTTCAAGACTGGAAGCCTGAAAAGTCATTGAAGTTGCCTTCAAGTATATCAAGATAAAATACCTATCTAAGGAAGAATTGGGGATAATGGAAGAAACTGTATGGAGTTTTGTTTTTGGTTTGTTTTGTCTTCTTGTCCTTCTGAGACAGGGTCTCACTCTTCAGTTCATGGAGGCCTTAAGCTCACTTTGTAGCTCAAACTTGCAAGGATCCTCTTGCCCTAGCCTCCTGAGTATTGGTATCACAGGCATGTGCCATCATGCCCAGCTTGTATGAAGATTTCATGCAGTAAGATAATAATTTTCCCAAAATCATTGTTACCTAGTGATGAACTGGTGCTCTGTTGTTACAAGAAAGGGCACGATTCCCAAGCACGGAACAGTGACCTGTTATAGACGGAAATTCACGCACAGGAAGGAGGCAGGCTTAGCTTCCCTTCCAGCTCTAACTCTCATGCAAGGCTGAACTCCACAGTAGCTATGGAAGCCCATATCTGGAATCCAGCACTTAGGAGGCTGAGACAGGAGGAGAACAAGTTCAAGCCTAGCCCATGCTACATAGCAAACTCAGGGGGCAGCTGGGCATCATGGCGAGACTATCTCAAAACACCAAAAGAACAAGATGCTGGAAGTGAATGTGCACACCTGTCACCCCAGCACTCTGGGAGAACAGCTAGGGACAGTGAGTTCCTTTGAGACCTGGGCAAGGCCCAGAAGGGGAAGGGGGGGGCAGAATCCTTACTGGCCTGGAGGTGACTTCCTGGGGACAAGGACACCAGGAGAAAACTAGACAGAGGGGAGAGAAGCCACAGGAGGGGCAGTTTCCAAACAATGGTTCTAAGTAATCAGGAAATAAAACCCCAGCACAAGGGGCCCAGAAGTGCCACAGCAACTTCTGTGAGACTCTGTCTCCCCCTGCTGAGGATGGAGGCTGGGCGGCCTGCATGGGGAAGCATGGTGGGATAGGACGGTTTCTTCTCGGGGAAGAGGCAAGAAAAACACAGGCACTGATAGAAAAGCCTTTCTCCACTGGGGCGCACATAGCCACTTCTTCAGGGCACCCAACTGGTGGCACCAAGTAGGGAAAGACACTGTCGCCCTGGGGAGAGTCCCAGCCTCTCCCACCCTGCCCTCCTGCTCCACAGGGTCCCTTTTAGTTTCTGTTTTGATTTTTTTGAGACAGGGTCTCACTATATAGTCCAGGCTGAACTCACAAAGATCCTTCTGCCTCGGCCTCCCAAATGCTGGGACGATAGACAGGTGCCACCACGCCCGGCTCCATCGCTCTTTCCTATTTGATGTCACCATTCACAACTTTATTCTGTGGAACAGGGACCAGGCACTGCTCTACAGTCAGGCACTGCTTTCTAATGGAAACCAACCAAAAGACTGCTGAGACTTTCCATGCCCGCAGCTGGGAAAACAAAACACTAAGTAAATAAATGCACACATGTACACACCCATGAATCAAAGGGCGTGGCATCCTGGTGTCGCTCTCCAGGGCTCAGAGATAATAACTACCGAGAGGTCTTTGAAGTTCTGCATGAAAGGTTTTACCTAAACACAATTATCCCCGTAAATCCCCCTGGTCCCGTCCCTGCCAGCAGGGTGGCCCTTGTATCCTCACTCCTCTGATGCTGATATTCTGAGATGGCAACTTCTTTGGGCCACAGGAATAAGGGGAACTGAAGTTTCAAATGCTTTTGCTACTTTTTGTCTAATTTCTGTAAGAGCCAAAAGGAAAACAATTCTTTACCTGTGGGGCAATGCAGAGTAAAGAGAAAATTAATGGCGCTCTGGAGGTGAGGTGCTCATTCCAAGTTAAGAAAACATTTGTTAGCAGAAAGGTAATTGAGCAGGAGCCCCAGGAGATGCCACCAGATGGGGAAGCCACAGGAGGAGACAATCACACATTGGCTGTCTGTCTGTGCACAGAAGAGGTGAGTAACCACAGTGCAGGGTTTACTCGATGACAGAATTCCCCTCAGACTCAAACAGCAGGACCAGGAATCAGAATGTCTGAGGTGCTTTTTTTTTTTCAAGGCAGGTGCTTATGCTGCTGAGCTAAATCCCCAGCCCCCTGATGTGCTTTTTAAAGAGGCACACTTAAAACAGATGTGCTGGTGCATGCCAGTAATCAGCACTCAGGAGGCTGAGGCAGGAGGATCACCTCAAGTTCAAGGCTGGCTGAGGCCCTGAACCCAGCGTAGCCTCAGCCAGCCTTAAACCCAGTGTCTATTGGGGTACAGTCTACGCAGTGAGACTACGCAGGTGGAGGAATCTTCCCATGAGACCTCCTTGGCAGCTCTGCCCATCATTGGGGCCCCTGGGACCAGAGCACCCGAGACAAGAGCCGAGGTTTGGAGTCAGGAGAGGGGTGCTGCATGGTATCATGGGACATGCTGTGGGGTACAGGCCTGGCATCTGCTGAGTTTTGTCCTCAGCACCAGGTAGCTCATGCCACCCTGGGAAACACTCCCCTGCTGAGCCTCAGGCTGGGCCAGACAGAATGGGAGATGGTAAAGGTGTGTGCACACACGAGGTGCTCGCCTTCCTTCTGGGGTACCTGAGATTGAACCCAGGTCCTTCAGACTAAGCTCCATCCCCAGACCTGTTTTCAGTTTTCACTTGGAGACAAAGTCTTGCTAAGTCACCCAGGCTGGGCTCAGACTTACAGTCTTCCTGCCTTGGTCCCTGAGTGCAGGACAAGAGGAAGGCACCACCCCTGGCGCGGCATGAGGTTAATGGTGCAAAGATGCTCAGGGGTCCAGGCAGAGAATTCCTCTTCAAATGTGAGGTTTAACCATTTACAAGTGTATGTAGAACTATGCTATACACCTGTGCTTTCAAAACACACTATGGTAACATCAGCCTCTCTGTATTGGGTAACATTCACAACGGTGGAGTGACCATTGGGTCAGCTGGCTTCTAGATACATGCCGACACACACCTACCCTGCACAGCAGTGAAGGAAGAGAGGAGGCTGAGGCAGAGATGGAACATGAGTGTACAAGAGGCAGCAGTGGAAGGCAAATCGGCCTGTCCTGATCCAATGGCTGCTGTGTCCTTGGACATGAGGTCACAATAATGCCAACTCTGGTGCTACTCACTGTTTAACTGAGGAAGTGACTTAGCCAGAAACAACTGGAGAAAACAACCAAGCAGTGAAAGTGCTTGTGGTCTAAGCTAAGGGATCTGGACAGCAGGTGAAGGAAGGGGCATCATCAGCTAGAAACAAAGAAGGGGCATGGCCCAGGGGGGTCAGAAGCAGCCCAGCAGAAAGCGCAGGAGGTGGACAGCAGCCTGAGCACCAGGCTCCTGCTGCTGACACCCAGGAGGAGGACAGTGTTGCCCTGCCCACCTCCACCAGCCCTTCCGCTTTCTCCCTGCCCCTTTCTCTTCCTCCTCCTCCTCCAACAGGAACAACCTCTAGCCAGCACCAACCACAAGAGTCCCCGGGGAACATGGACACACAAGCAGAACCAGGACAGGACACGGATGTGACAACAAAGCAGAGAGAGATGATGGAGGGATGGGAAAGGTTTCCTGGACCAGACAGCGTTACTCAGGCCTTGAAAACAAAGACACAAAAGAGAAAACGAAGACTCAGAGCACAAAAGAGTAAGAACAGCATGGCAGAAACTTCACGGGTGTGTTCTGATCCGGGGAGAGAACCAAGCCTTTTGGATTCTCAGGACTGCTGACCTTCAGGGCATGAGACCCATTCATGCAGGCGACTGCAGGGCAGTCATGGTGAGAGGGGCTGACGTGACCAGGTCAAGCCCACGTCCCTGCATGACACCCACTGGCACCGTCTGGACACCATCCTCTTCCTGATGCTTTGCAGTCACTGAGGATTTAACAGTGTACTGCCAGAGAGCTCAGCAGGGAAAGTCGGTGACATCTTTTACAGAACAGAAACCAGCAAAGTTTAATAGAAGCAGAGCTGAGAAAGGGGTAGGAGACAAGGAGAATCAGTACATTAAAATGCTGCAGGAGAAGGGCTGGGGATTTAGCTTGGCGGTATAAGCACCTGCCTTGCAAGCAGGCGGTCGTGAGTTCGATCCCCCGTACTGATAAAAATGAAAAAGACAAAAAAAAAAAAAAAAAGTGCTGCAGGAGGCCAGGTGTGGTGGCCCGTGCCTGCAATCCCAGCACAGGAGGCAGACACAAAGGATCACCACAAGTTCCACAGTGCACCAGCCTGCACCACACAGTGAGAGCCTGCCTCCAAACACCAACAAACAGAAAAGGCAGAGAACCCTGTGTGGCGGGAGCACAGCTCAGTGACCAAGCAGCCAGCTCGCGGAGGCCTCGCACCACAGACGCACGCACGCACACGGCAACATTTCTTTCCTGTTTGATTATTAAAGAACTTTTCATTGTTATTCTTACTTTTAGAAACTTTTTTTTTTTTTTTTTTAAATCTGTACAAATAAATTTATTAAAATATTGCTGAAGATATACATTTATTAATATGGAAAGAGATCCAAAATATAGTAAGGCAGGCTAATAAACCTCACATGCACATGATCAAAATATAACATATGTATGTATGGAAATGTCAAACTGAAACTGATTAATTTGTATTCTATGTGAAAGGATTTTGCCCTGGACACTGCAGCCTTAAGAACCTCGGAGACGGAACCAAGGGGCTTTATCTTGAGGTCATCTTCCTGGCCCCTAGGCAATTTGCCTGTGGTGCGAAACGAATTCCAATGGGCTACTTGTACATCAGTAATGCCCCTTACCATCACCCCAAACCAAAGCTATATGTATGCCCCCCACACCATGTGTCTGGTAGAGAGATAAGCCAGACTTCAGTGATCGTGGGGTTCTCTGCGTTCTCAAAATAAAGGCCACTTTTATTTCATATTTGTATCTTTTTACCCAAAAATTCTATTAGTTGGTTCCCCAACCGGAACAGCGGGCGAGTGACTCCTGGGGTCTTCCCAGTTTGAGTTCCCCTGCCGATTCATGAACTGGATCGCCTCCTGGATTAATTCCTCATTTCTCAATATGCAGGAGCTGCTCAACTTGTCGCTGCTGGTTTACAAACAACACTGGTCTAATTCTGTCTGAGGATTACTTCATGGTGGGCCAGGCCCCATGCCGGATCTTCCTTCTGTCCCTGGTCTGGGGTAGCAGTTCTCACATCCCTTGGGCAGCCCAGAGCAGAGCCAATACTTTAATCTACCAGGACTCCACTTGTGCTTTTAGTGGTGGCTATACAGACACGAGTTGGAACTGATTGCCGTCGGTCTAAAAGGCCAGGTGACGATCTGGTCTGCTTTGGGTCACGTCCCTTAGCTCACTTTACTGTGATTGGATCATGGGAAATATTTTTTCCTGTCCCCCAATAAACACACCTCTGGGGTGCCTGTTTCAAAAGGCTACCCAAAACCAAAAAGCTAATCTTTTATTTACGCTTTTATCGCAATGGCAGCAAGTTGGCAGAAACTCTCCATCTTTAGGAAGGATGTGTCCTTCACTCACTCTGCTCCTCCAGGATCCCTCCCTCTTCCCACACTTAGGAGGCAGCTCCTAAGCCTATCCCCTATATCTCACACACCAAATCCTGCAGCTTTCTCAGCCAAAGGCTGAGTCCCTTATGTCGTCCTCTCCTCCCTCCTTCACCCATTTCTCTTTTTTTTTTTTTTAATTTTATTTAAGGAGAAAAGAAAAAAAAAAAAGCAGGGAAAGGGTACAAGTTATACAGATTTACAGAAAAAAAATGAACAGTAGGAAATCACTAGTTAATGGATTACATATTGTCATCTTAGAAATAATTGTTCAAGTCACAAAATTAAAGCTTGTAAAGTGGACATTCCATCAATGATACTGCAAACAGTTCTGTTCACTGATCCAATAAAACTCTGTGATATCATTTTCTATCTTATACACTTAAATATACATGCAGTTATATAGTTTGGAGCACTTTCTTTTCCTCTCTTTTGTACCATGACTATTACACATTTTGGGTTTCATTGCTCCCACGGTTCTTATTACTTTTTTGGAAGAGAGTAAAACCAAATGTGACATAAGAGAACAGACTCGGTCAAGTCAAAAGGGTGGACATAATAGATAATGTAAAAACATAATACAAGGTGATCAACAATGGTTACCATAATGCCTCCCGCTATCTCTAATAGAATTGCCTATATCATCAGTTATAATAAAATTGAACAAAACAGTAAAGAACGAAACCAACAAAACCAAAACATTGGAGACATTGTAGGTCTTCAAAAGTAGATAAAAGTCAACAAGAATGGGCGTCATAATGAATCTCATTATCTTTACAGCTGATGCCTAAACTTTCGAACCTGATACTATCCAGCAAAACAGAATAGGGGAACATCAGTTAAAAACCAGATGGTGAGACTAATACAGGGCTTTAAATCAAGGTAACGAAAAGTCAAAGTGGGTTACTATAATATATCCTGCTATTTTTTTCCTTTAATTAAAAGGATAAAGATAAAAAAGTAAATAATGGAGTGGAGATTGAGATAAAAGAGGGCATAACAATGAAACAGCGCAGATCAAAACATAACCATTTAAGCAGAATAGTGTTTCACCACCAGATAATCCTAACCTAAAAGTAGTTACCATATTGTCTCTTTCTTTGAAATCCTTGAGTACAACTTCGTATACTGTAGCATTAAGTATATCAAAACAATGTAAAACCATTCAAGAGAATGACAGCATTACAGAGTATTTAGAATCGACTAACAGAAAATGAACAATGGTTTCTGTATAATCTCCTTGTCTTTAAAAGGTTTTTGCTTATACTATCGTACATAATAAAATCCAATAAGATACAGCCTATTTAGACCATTGGAGACAGAAGGACAAAAGCTAGATGAGACTTCAAAACAAGATGATACTAAATCAGTATTACCTATTAAGATGTCATTTTCTCCAAAATAGCTGTTCCTATCATCCAATCTTCTCTGCCTCATTTCTGTTGAGCTCTTTTTCTGTCAGTAGCTGTCAGTTTGTCTTCTTCATTTTGTTCTCTGCTCCATTCGTTGTGGCCTCTCTGCTATTATTTCTGGATTCTTTGTATTTTTCTTTTTTTAGAATATCCTGCAAAACTCTCTTTAGAGTTGAATTGGTGGTTGCAAATTCCCCCAGTTCCTCTTTATCCTGGAAGCACCTTGTTTTTCCATCAATTTCCAGGGACAGTTGTGCAGGATATCTCAATCTTGGCTGGAGATTATTATCTTTCAAAGCTTGAATTATTTCCCCCCACGCTCTTCGTGATTTGATGGTTTGTGCCGAGAAATCTGCTGTAATTCTGATGGGTGTTCCCTTGTAAGTGGTCTGTTTCTTGTCTCTTACAGCTTTTAATATTCTGTTCTTGTATTGAATTTCTGGAATTTTTATTATTATATGCCTGGGTGTTGCTCTGTTTGGGTTGTAGGTGGCTGGGGTCCTGTATGCCTCATATATCTGAGTATCTTTACCTTTTGCTAAATTAGGAAAATTCTCCTGGATTATTTCTGTGAGTAGCTTTTGTAGTTCACTTGTTTGTGTCCCTACTTCTTCTTTTATGTTCTTAATCCTTAAGTTATGGATCCTCTTATCATCTTCTTGTCTTTGTATTATTGCTGTTTGTTTCTTTGTTATTTTTAAGAAGTTTTTCATTTCATTCTCCCATATTACAAATCTGCCCTCCAGTTCAGATAGTCTGTCCTTAGTTTCTTTCAAGCTGTTATGCCAGTCTTCTATAGACTTCTTAGTATCTTGGTAGTGCCTTTGAACCTGCTTCACGTATTCTATGCTTTCTCTGTTTTCTCCATCAAACAATTCTCCCCTTTTTTTCTGTTCTTTCATTCCACCACCTGTTTTTTCTTGGGTGGTACTTAGCATTTCTCTAACTATTCTGCCTACTTCTAGCTTCAGGTCGTTGATAACTTCATTCCTGAATTGGTCTATGAGGCTCTCTATATGGTGCCTTATGTATATTGGTGCGGTGTCTGCAATTGCCTGTTTCTCAGAATTGGGGGCCGAGGAGCCTTTCTTGTTGCTGCCTTTTCCCATGCTGCCTCTTCTTCTCTGTTCCTTATATATGCAAGCTTATATAAGAGGCCCAGCTTCTCTCCCAGTCAGCCACAGCCTGATCGAATTGCGCCAGTTAGGTGTTCCCGCTCACCGCTGCGCACCAGGGAGTTACGGACCAGGCAGCCTACGCGTCTCCCCTCCCGGCCACCGTCAGGCTCTGGGATCTGGGTTGGGACAGTCTACCAGGTCCGAGGGCAGCGTCACGCAGGCCAGGCACTTTTCACCAATCCCGCCTGAGAGGGGGTTGTGTGGCTGGAGTCGCCACAGCGCCCTGCTCCCGCAGGACTGCTTGGGCCCAGAAAGTCCTCTGCTGGAGTCAAACTGTGGTAGAGTGTCAGTTTCTCTCACTCACCTCACCACAAGTCAGTGCACGCCTCCCTGCCGTTCGCAGATTGCCGTTCTCAGAGCTTCTGTGTGTCTCTCTCCTTGCCGAGCCACTGTAGAGGCAGCCAGCCGCCACGCGGCGGGAAACCCAAATCGCGGCTTACAATGGCGCGGGGTCCAGCCTCCACACCGAGGCTTTTCTCTTCATGTTTTAGCACCAGGACTGCATTCCAAGTTGGTTTCTCTCAGCCCAGTTCGTTCCTGAGTCAGCAGAGCATATCTCCACCTGCTTATGTCTCCTTAGTCCGCACCATTCCTGGCTTCTGAGCCGAGTCTTTCAGAGAGCCTCCGGTAGTTGCTGTTATCTGTCCGCCATGTTCTCCCGGAAGTCTCTACTTTTAGAAACTTGAAAGGCAATTTTTCACATCCAATAATCCTTTATTTCATATATAAAAGCCTCCCACTACACTTCACATTTTCTCATTATTTCAATTGACAGAGGACACATTTTCAAATGGGCTTTCGGTACAGCCTCTTCTTAAAGGGAAACGATGAAAAGGAGAGGTTGACCTTTCGGTGTCTGCTGAAGTTAATTCCTAAGTGGACGGTCAGAATGAGGACCGGAAATCCATCCACGAAGCTGTATTCCATTCTGTCCAGTGCTGAGGATTTATTTCTAGTTCCACCTCAGAAACAGCTATGGGCAGAGTGCTCCAGGGAGCACTCACTCCCACAGCTGTCCTGGCTGAGGAAAAAAAAAAATCATCCTTGCTGGTGATGAGGGGTCCAGGAAACGGAGGCACATGGCACCAACAGAATCACCGAGAGCAGTGATGGTGAATCTTCTAGAGTGGCCACTGATACAAACTGCTGGCGGCAGCACACACGGGTTTGCCCCCAGTGGCCTAGACAGATCTTAAAGCCCAGGTGCTCAGCTCATCCCAGGTCTGGATGCGCTGACTTCCAGCCAGGACAAGGGTCCCTCTCCGTGGAGCCCAGGAACCGGGCTTACAGTGGGGTCAGCTGGTAAGGCTGTGGGGCTGGGGCCCATGACTTAGCGACACTCACTGCCTGGGGGGAAAGGCACCAATCAGAGTCTCAAAGGCAGAGCTCGGCATGGGGCCAGCTCAGCACACGCCAGGCCTCGGTCCAGCCTCCACCACAATGGAAACAAACAAATACAACGCAAAGCCTGTGGCAGAGATTAAATAACCAAACAGAGGGCTACTTATTACAAAAGTTAGTGTTTCCTTTCCTGTGTTTCATGTTTTCCCTTTATGTCAGTAAATGATGGATAAAGTGACCAGAAACCTGCATGATTAAATAACATTAACAAGTTCAATAACAAACCACATTTTGGAGAATAAGGTTCAAGAGACTGAAAAAACTATCCTCTAACCCAACACATCCCTCATTGCACATTTTCCTATTTGTTTACATGATTTAAATATACATACAGCATGACCTTAACACATTGACTGAAGTAAATTCACAGCCTTATACACGGATACTTGACGCCTTGAAAAGACCTTTCTCTGACCCTAGGAACACCAAAGTGACTTGTCACTTCATACCTCTGGGGCAACAGATCTCTCCCTTTTCTCTAATTCAGCATTCTGCTGTAGTGACCCCAGAACCCACTGTGACAGAGATCCATCCTCCCTAAAGAGGAACTCGCGTGGATTACCTCCCAGAGGACCCCGCAGAGCCCAGGCCACAAATCTGGAATCAAGGCCACATATTGGAATGGTCACAACAATGCTAAATGTCACAAAGACTAAACACTCCAGGAGCCAAAGTCACCGAGAACAATGTCAGAGGAGAACATGTTGGCGATCATGCGAAGCTGTGTTTGGTCAGGAGCAGTTGCCTTGGAGACCAGGATGCACCTCGAAGTAAGGCCTTCTTTGTCCCAGGCAGGCTCACGGCTCCGTCTGCTGGAGCCCTGTCTGCACTGTGATCAATGCTTCAGAGGTGAGCTGCTCTCCGTGAATACATTATTCAAGCAAACACTGTCACCTGTCCCCTCAAATCCTGGTAAACAGCGGTCCAAGGCCGGGACAATTAAGGTTAAAGGACAGACCCAGTAGGCCAAATGAAGATGCTGGTGGCTTTGACCCCACTCAGTACATTCAGAAAACAATGAAGTCAGCACACTAATTCCGTAGTGTAGAAAACCCAGCACAGCTTCCCTGTGACGGGGGTCCTGGGTGGCCAGCAGTGCTAAGGCCTCCTATGCTGAGGTTAGGGTGGCACGGAGACAGCCAATACCTAACAGTCCTCGTGTGTCCCTCTGCTGTTTGCTTCTCATGAGCACCAGTCACTCGCCCAATACGTGAGCTTGTCTCCGCTGCGTCAGAGCAGCCACCTCCCTTGCGATCAGCGGGGAGATAAACAGAATCGTACAGCTCGTCTGCGAAAAGAAAGAGCGAGAAACGTGCGCGGCCCTTCCCTGCTGTCAGGAATTTGTGTTGGAGCATAGCAATGGATGGGAACAATTAAAAGGTGACTTACCCTTTGATGGATTAGAAAATTACTTTTGAAAATTATCCTTAATATCACACAAAATACTTCAGTGCCATATTAGTTGTCAAAACAAACCAACAAAAAACCCAAAACTAAAGCTCATGATGGCCATAGGCAGAACAAAAAACCGTTGGGCACGTGGATGAAAAGCAGGTCGCCTCTCATCGCCCAGCTTTGTTTGCTCCAGCAGTCTCCAGTGTGCCACATCGGCAGAAGCCACTGTCCTCCCACAGCAGGAGCATCGGGAACAGAATGGCAGGGGACGGTCTCCAGAAGCCAGAGGCAAAAGAAACGTATGCCAGGCCTGCTGGAGCTGGCTATCCTGGGCTCCTGCAGCAGCTCAGAGCAGTGCTGCCCCCAGTCAGGATGGCCTTGCTTAAGGACAGCACACTGAACATGCCCTAGGCGATCACCAGACTCTCGGGCAGACCATCCCAATAATGTGACTGAGTAAGTCACACACCTGTTCAATAGAAAAAACTGTTTTTTTCAGGTTTTTTGCAATAGGGTTCCACTACATAGTCTAGGCCAGCCTTGAAGTCACCCTGTAGCCCAGGCTGGCGTCGACTTCACAGTTACTGCCTCAGCTTTCCAAAATTTGGAATTATAAGTATGCATCATCAAACCTGGCCAGAAAGTAACTTTTTTTTTGTACCGGGGATCCAACTCACGACCTTGTACTTGCTAGGCAGGAACTTATGCCGCTGAGCTACATCCCTGGCCAGAAAGCAACACTGTAAAAGCACAGGCCTTTTTCTGTACTGGCCTTCTCCCAGACAGTATAAAGTGAGAGCTGAATGTGACTATTACTTCCTCCGAGACCACCATTGCTCTGGCACCTGCACAGAGCAGTCAGCCTGAGTTAACTCTGTATGGCGTGGCATACGCTGAAATTCCCTTCACAACCCCAAATTATATTCAGCAGAGACTGAGCAGCCAGAGAAGTACAGTAATTGGTGCTGGGTGATCCAAAAGGAAGACCTGCTGTTCTGCATTACATCCGGCAACCCTTACTGCACTTGGGTGAGAGCCCTTCCCTTCCTTGACAAAGACTCTGCCTTTCAGACTAAGAAATGGTGCTTTTTGCAAAAGAATCTTTAAAAGCAGCCAGCAATGGGGACTGGAGATTTAGCTCAGCGGCATAAATGCCTGCCTTGCAAGCAGACAGTCGTGAGTTCGATCCCTGGTACCGGTAAAAACAAAGGCATGCTTACCATGAGAATGAAAAAGTAGAAAACCCACATCCAGCCTAGGTTGTCCTGGATCAAAGACACCAAATACTAAAAGGGAGAGAAAGAAATCACAATGTCAACTTTTGGAAATTACCAAAATGAAGTGGCTGCGAAGCGGATGGAGCACAGCTATCTTGGCAATCAGGAAGTGCGCCAGGCACTGGATATAAGCCCTGCGGAGTCCCAACCCACACAGCACACAACGGAGGGGCAGCTCAGCGGGTCTGTCCTCACGCAGGACTCCAGACAGAAGGCTGGTGCCCCAGCCACCCACTTAACCACCGCCCCCAGCAAGAGGCGCCACAGCTGAGGCCTGCAGGCTCTGAAGGGCACTGCCAGCTTCGTCCCATCATCAGTGGCTCCCGGGATTCCTGGGCTCTTGCCATTTTAATCATTTTTAAACCTAGTACATTCACAATGCTGTACAACCACTATTTCCAAAATGTTTTCATTAACCAACGGAAACTCTACACTTAGGCCAAGTATGGTGACAAGACCTGTAATTCTAGCACTCAGGAGGCTGAGGCAGGAAAAGAAAAGAAGAAAACCTACACCTAGTAAACAGTAATGCCTCGTCACCGGGTGCTTACCCAGCCCTGGCAACCTGCAATCTTCCTTCTCTCTGTGAATTTGCTGACTGTGGGTGTTCCACGTAAATGGAATCATGGAATTGTGGTCCTTTTGAGTCTAGCTTAGTTCACTTATCATAACATTTTCAAGGTTCACCCATGCTGCTAATACGTGTTAGATCTTCGCCCCTTTTCAGAGCTGAAGAGTACTCCACACACCATGGTTTGGTTTTTTTGTTTTGTTTTGTTTTTTGTCTTTTTCCTTTTTATCGGTACCAGGGATCGAACCCACGACTGCCTGCTTGCAAGGGAGGCGCTTATGCCGCTGAGCTAAATCCCCAGCCTGACAGCTTGTTTACTCATTCATCTGTTGAACATTTAAGTTGTTTCCAACTTTTAGCTACCATCAGTATAGTACAATGAATACTGGTATACAAGCATCTGAGTCCCTGTTTTTAAGTCTTTTGAGAACTCACCTAGGAGTAGAATTACTGGACCATATGATATGGGCAATCTATGCTTGTTTTTTTTTTTTTTTTTTTTTTTTTTTTGAGGGGTCACCAAGATATTTCCCACAGCACCAGTACCAGCCTACATTCTCATGAGCAATGCAATGCTCTGATTTCCCCTCATTCTCATCAATGCTTATTACTTCAAAGTTCTTAATCATACCACCTCAGGAGGTATGAAGCCCCATCTCACCATATTCTAAACTCACATTTCCCTAATAAGGGTGTTGGGAATCTTTTGAGTGTCTACTGGTACTTGTAATACAGTTTGTTATGAAGGTTTGTCTCTGTGTTTTGTTCTAAGGGTTTTATAACTTTAGTTCATAAAGTTAGGTCTTTAATCCATTTAGTTAACTTTCGAATCATATAAAGTAAGGGTCCAACTCCATTCATTTATGGATATTCATTCTATGCAAATACCCAGCCTTGCCAATATCATTTATTGATGAGAACACTCTTTTCCACTGAATGGCCATGGCGCCCTTGTTGAAAACCAACTGAGCACAGGTGTACATCAATCACTATTGCAGCAGGGAGGAAAGAACAATGAATCTTTCTTGAAGGAGTCAGGAGAGGCAGAGGCACTGATGTTACTCAGAGGAGTAGGGAAAAGAAGAGTAAGAGGAAGACGAGGCTGAGAGCTTCAATCTCAAGTCATGGGGTCTGTGATTTCCCCCCACAGGCAACAGGAAATTGCTCAGAAATCACCACAGAGGGGGATGTACACTGCCGACAACAGCCCCACACACTCCCTGACACTGGCGCCCCTGAGATGGGCTAAGCCAAGGCAAGCACCTGGAAGGGCTCATCCCAGTGTCCTTATCTGCTTAACAAAGCAAACATCAGTGAGAAAAGATAACTATAGTACAGTACGTGGACACAAGACGCCCTACGTGGACACAGGACACCCTACAGCTACCCTTCCCTTCAACTGGGAAGTCACCTGAGCTGGCAGTCGTCAGCATCTTCTTTTTTTTTTTTGGTCTTTTTCGTTTTTATCGGTACCAGAGATCGAACTCATGATTGCCTGCTTGCAAGGCAGGCGCTTATGCCGCTGAGCTAAATCCCCAGCCCCAGCATCTTCTTCTTACTCGCACCCCAGGGCAGGATCAGGGATGTAATTCTCCAAACTTTGCTAAACATTTTCTTTATTTTTGCCCTTAAATCGTACAATCAAGTACGCCAAGCCTGTTGATGCATCATTCATTCATTCTGCACACACTCACCAGTACACTGGACCGTCTCCTGGGGGGCAGCCAGAGCTATGGTATGAGGCCATGACAGCACGCAGGCCAATCTGCCAGGCTCACGAAGCCACACTGCGTGGATGCAGACAGCAGCCCCTGCAGCGAGCACAGCAGTGGTGTAGGACCTCCATGCCAGCTCACTCATCAAGCATGGCCAAGCACCTCCAAGCGGGCCCAAGAGCACACTTCTGGGCCACTCGTGCCCCCGAAAGTCAGCACTAAGGATCTTCTGTCCTTCTCCCGGCCTCTCTCTACCTGGGGCATCACCGATGGTCTCCCTGCCTACCCATGACCTGGTGCCTCTGCCTCCTGACCACTGGGCACTCCTTGAGGTTCTCCCTACCTATTCTCCGCTAAACACCTGATCCACTCCCAAGGCTCAGCTGTTTTATCCACGCAAGTGACTTCTGTGTTGGTAAAGTTAGCACCCCAGGGCCCTGAGTGGTACAGCCACAAGTTTTCTGAGTGTCCCACACAAGAGACACTTGAATGAGAAGGCTTGAATGAAAGCCAGACTGCACAACCCAAGCCATTCTAGCTGCACACAATAGGTAACCTCGGCTCCTCAGAGACCCTCGATGTCAGATCACGTAAGAATCCCAGGAAGGCCTGGTGAACAGATCCCGGACTCCATCGAGCACATTGCAGCGAGCTCTGTGTTCTACACACAACATCTCCCAACGATGCTCTGAAGCAGACATTTGGGAAACTGCAACTCAAAGACAGTGAGAGGCCGTGGGCGCACGAAGTAGAGATGCAGGCAGGGAGGGAGCAGGTTACCCCAGCGTCTACAAGAGGGACACAGAGGGACCCTGGAGCACAGGGCAGGCAGGGTTTGCACCAGGCTATGTATGAGAAGTATGCGTATTTCGTGTGCCCCTCTGGAGTGCCACGTTCAACCTGGGAGAAAGGGGGTGGCAGCTGGGGCAGAAGGGTCAGCCCAGGAAGTTAGGAAGAACCTAGAAGTCAAAGTCAGAAGGAGGAATTCAGTCAGGTAGAGGGCTTGAGGGCTTCCTCGGTGGGCCACATCTGTGGGACCATGGAGGAGAGGAGGCAACTAAGGCTTCCAGCACAGACTCTCACAGCTCTCAGGCATAGCCCACCTGATGACCCCCACCCTGCTGCCTCACCTGGCCCACCGCGGCACCGATGCTCCCGGTCCCATCCACAATCCCCGTGACAGTTGCCAAGGCTTCGCTGCTGCCTTGGATCAGCTCCTGGCGACCCAGGTCTGCAGAAATGGCCGAGCTGATCATGTTAGAAGGACCACCAATAAAAAATCCTGCAGTCAAAAAAAAAAAAAAAAATCCTGCAGTCACAAACGGAGTGGGTTCTTATTAAAAGTGATTTCTAATATCAGAGCAATCTACTGAATATCAAAGTATCATCCTGATAATTGATACACTGGAGAAAAACAAACTAAAAGGAAACTGCAGAGAATATCTTTAAAATAGCATTCACTTTCTGAAATCCCTTTATGAATTATGTAACAATCTAGTGTTTTGCGTTGTTCTGCTTTTCAGAGTCTCATTATGTAGTTCAGGCTGGCCTTGAACTCCTGCCTCAGTCTGCTGAGTGCTGGTATTCCAGGTGTACAACACTACACCTGGTTGCTCTAGTATACTCACAAACCTCAAGATGTATGAAATACAGCAAAATATGGAGGATTTCCACTCCTGTGAAGTTCCCTCAATAACTAACTGACTAGCTTATCAAATTCCCTTTACAGCATGGTTCTATCACATGGGCATTTGTCAACCCAAAGTCACCAAACACACTGAAAACCAGAGAGGAGAGGAAAAGACCACTTCCATAGTACAGGGAAGCCTCTCCCACACCTTGCTGGTGCCTGGGAAGCTGCCATAGCCCCAGCCTTGGTTGTGTGCCTCACACAACATAAAAAGCTCTCTCTGATGAGACGTGAAGTTTAAAAATTAGTAACTCTTGGGGCTGGGGACATACCTCAGTGGTACAGTGCCTGCCTGGCAAGCATGAGGTCATGAGTTCAATTCCCCATACATTAAAAAAGCAATCTTTCAATACCATGATCCCCTAATTGCAACCAACTACTTCATCTAGTGCACAAGTGAAGAAATACTAACCAATTCTAACAACAAAAGAAAAACTAACCAGCTTGAACTTTTGTAAGCTGGTAAACTGGTTTCCAATGTGGTATCTTCCAAAGTCTCTTTCCAAAGCTAAACCGAAGCTGAAGCAGCGATCAAAAAATGTGTTATTAGGGCCTGGGGATTTAGCTCAGCGGCATAAGCGCCTGCCTTGTAAGCAGGCAGTTGTGAGTTTGATCCCCAGTACAGGAAAAAAAAAAAAGTGATATTGAAGGTCAGAGATATAGCTCAGCAGCACAGTGCCTGCCTGGCAAACACAAAGTCCTGAGTTAGATTTCTGGTACCCCCCAAAAAAGTGATATTGAAGTTGGACATAGGGAAGTAGCCCTGTAATTCCCACTCTCAGGAGGCCAAGGCAGGAGGATCATGAATACAAGGTTACACAAAAGGAGTCTGTCTCGACAATTGATGGGGACAGCTTCTATCTCAAGAGAGTGGAGGAAGTGACCAACAAGCAGAGAACAGAATCTGGAAAAAGATGTGTAATGGTGCATGCCTGAAATCCCAACTACAAAGGGAAGGAGGAGGAGTGGGGAAAAGCAGAACTGAGAAGTGTTTCACACCTATGCCAATCCCCCACGGTGAACGTAATCATCACCGCTCAAATGTTTCCTGAAGAAAACCAGACAAATACCAACTACTCAGGAGGCTGAGGCAGGGGAAGTGCAAGTTTGAGATGAGGGACATCTTGTCTCAAAATAAAATACAAGAAGGCTTGTACACCCTGGGTTCATTATCTAGTACCACAAAAAATAATAATAACTAATCTAGAACAGAATCTGGAAAAGGAGGCGTTCTTCTGTTGTTTGAGTTTTCTGCGACTAAGTAAGGCTTTAGCATCACCCAAGAGGAAGAGGCAGCTTCCAGCAGACAGCGCAGTCCCAGGCCACAGTACCTGTCACCGTCATCAGGAGTGCGTTGATGGATTTGTTGTTGGGAGACCCTATGAGGAGATACAAACACAGCACGGTGACTGACTGGGGTAGCAATGACACACAGCTCTACCAAGAGCACACACACAAAAAGCCTCACGAATCCTTCCTGGACAACAAAGAGAGGCAACTCTCTGCCAGTTTTTATTTGTCGGTCTGCCTCAAGCTAACGAGACTTCTAAAAGCCAGGGAAAGCCTTGCCCAGATCGGCAGCATCTTAAGGATGTATCCACACTGGCTAATTAGCCTCGGCCCTGTTTGAAATCTTGCCCCTTTTATTGTTTTATTGGCTCTAATACGGTCCCTCTGGAGCCACCCTTCATACAAAGCGCATATGCTCCCAAGCAAGCCTTTAAACAAACCCACAAAGCAGGAGCACTGCCAGCTTCCTCTGGACACAAACACTGCCGTGTGCCTCGGTGTTCCCGGGCGCCTCGGCTCTGTGGAGGTGGCCAGCTCTGAGCCAAGCTGGACTCCAGCAAGCACTTGCTCCCATACCATGGAGGCAGGGATACTCACGGCTGTACCCCACGAGGGAGCCGACTGCCAGGAGCAGGCTGAGGGCCAGCACTGGCGCTCTCTTCTGCAGGACGTCAGAGATGAAGCCTTGCAGGGTCCCACCTGAGCAAGGAGAGCACAGTGTGTCAGGACCCACACCCATACCCTTCCCCAACTCATACTACAGCCCAGCAGAGAAGATGCTGGCTTCCCCCAGGACCTGCCACCTGCAAGACAATGGGCTGACCCACATCACCGTGGAGGCCGATGGGGACAGGACACCACAACCAAACATTGGGATGAAAAAAAGAGAATCCCCAAATCCATCCACTCTCCCTTACTGTTTTCCCTACAAAAAGTATTTGTAGATGCTTTTCCTGATTGGTCTGCTTTTTAATTTAAAACATGGCTAATGAAGGACTTATCCCTCACAGGCTATTAATAGCAGAAAGTAAACAGTCGCTAAAATTAAATGTAGCCACTATGGTTCGGAAATAACAGTTGAGGTGACTAAGAAGAGGGGATGTCAACCCCTTGGGTGGCACCGTCACATTCAGAGTGCCAGTCTGAGTTCCAGGAGCTACAGGACATCTTCTGCATGCTCCTCAGAACTCAGGTACCAAGGCCATTTTCCTTTCAGGGGATACCGAAGTGTGGTCAGGTGGAGAGATGCCAGCCCACCCGGAGACCTCTGGAGTACTAGTGAAGAACTTCCTTTCCGAGGAAGACGCACCCGGCGTACCTATGATTCCGCCAACATCGTACCAGATGGACAACTTGTCGGCTTCAGCCTCCTTCCAGCCAAAGTTGTTACTCAGGTAGAAGGGCAGCCAGAAGAAGAAGGAGTAATTCACCAGCTTCAGGCAAGCATAGGCCAGGGAGTACTGTAAGAAAGACACGAAACCATCAGGAAGGGACAAAGAGTACAGCATGGCCACAACTTGTCATGGTTTTTCTGTTATTTTGTTTTGTTTAGGTACCAGGGATCATACTCATGACCTTGCACTTGCCAGGCAGGTGCTTACACTGCTGAGCTAAATCCCCAGCCTCTTTTGTTTTTTGAGACAGGGTCTCACTATATAGCTCAGGCTGGCCCTGAACTCACTATGTAGTTCAGGGTGGTCTCACAGCAATCCTCCTGCTTCAGCTGAGTGCTGGGATTATTGGCTTGCGCCACCACAGCCAGCCTGGGCCACAATCTTCAGTGTTAAAAAGCAAGTAAAATAAAATGTAAGCGTCTGGGGTCAACAATATCTATTATTTGTTTTGGGGGGCTTTGAGACAGGGTCTTGCTGTGTAGTCCAGGTTGGCATGCATTCACTATAGAGTCTGGGCTGGCCTCAAACTCACAGCAATCCTCCTGCCCCAGACTCCCGAGTGCTGAGGTTACCAATGTGCCACCACGCATAGCCTGGTACCTCATTTTAAAATTAAAACATGTTTACAAATTCCTGTTTGCCTGATTTCATCCAGGTGGCTTCCTCTCTTCACCAGCATCAGCTTGCAGAAGGGGCTTGGAAAGGAAGCCACAAACACCTCTCCTTAGCCATCCTCAGGCTCTTTTCCTGTCAGAGCTGTGGCAGACACGAACCTCAGCATCTGCCATGGGCAAATCCAACTAGCAAGCATCACAGCACCTACCAAGCAACTGTTCCACATCCTGCACAGTGAGTGCCCCGCAGGCCCTGGAGAGGAGGAGCGTGCCCTGGAGCCAGAAAGGAAGGCGGTGGCGTCCTTGGCCGCGTGGCTCTCTTTTGAGGGAGAGCAACTGCAGCTGCCTTAAGATGATGCTGGGTTGAAACTGCACACTGAACATGTTATTACCAGGAAACCCTGACATCTAGCATCAAAGGAGAAGGGGCGGAGCTGGCGACTTCAAAGGGTGTCTGGCACACACACTCTTGGCCCTGGACCTGCAGCTCAGTCCCGATATCAACTGCTCAGAGTGCTTCCCTGGCCGGGCAGGAGCCACCCCCCAGAGAGCCTCATCCCCATCACCAGAGCACCCCATCTGGACAGCCGCAGCAGGGACAAAGGCTGGAGGTGACTTCCTTCCTCACCAGCCTGCCCACCCGAGAACAATGGCTGTGAGGACAAAGGATCGGCAGGATTCCAGCTCACTCACAACCAATTCCAATTCTCTCTCAACAATTAACTCCTGCTCAAGGAATATCTTCAGTAACTAGCTGAAAGAAAACACCTTAGCATAAGAATAGGCCTAACTGACCAGCATTCCTCATATCCTCGAGGTAAAGAATTATGGAAAATGAACTTTTTTTTTTTTTTTTTGGAAAATGAACTTTTAATTCACATCGAGTTATGTGAAGTGTTTGTTTTCTTAGCTTGGATGCACAGGCAAAAAAATCTGAAAAAGTAAATATATTCATAAAACACAACTAAAAAATGAAATAAAAAGCTTAAGTGTGATGTATACTCCCTTAAGCCCAGCACTCTGGGAGGCTGCGACAGCACAATTTAAGCCCAGCCTGGGCAACTTAGTGAAACCTTGTCTCAAAAACAAAACAAGAGGGTGGAATGTAAAGCCCAATGTAAAGGCTCTAGGTTCAATTCCCAGTATTGCAAAAAAAAACAAATCATTTTCTCTTATTCACCACATACTAACTGTGTTCTAAACCACAGGAAACCCAAGAGGGACTGACTAAGACTCAGGACAGGTAGCATCACTCACCCCAGGCCTCCCAGAAACAGGTGGGGAAGCTGGAGACTTAGCCCAAGTCCACTACATCCACACCAGTGCCAGAGAGCCTGCAGCAGCAGACAGAAAAACCACAGAAGAGAGTCCATACAGATACAGCAAGGCTTCCCGAGCACAGAGGCCTCGCGGAGCGGGATGCTGCACCTAGAAACCGAAGCACTCTGCTTGGGACCTCCGAACAGGGCAGGTGAGATGCAGGTCACAGATGTGACCTCACCAAGCCCTTCTTAAGCTACACGTAATAAGCAGGCCAAAGACAGCTGCATGCCACATTAGGGTCAGCAAAACAGGGTTCATGGGCCCAATCTGCCCATAAAACACATCTAAGCATCTGCCGTACACTGACTGTGCCTTCATTTAGGGTGCCTCAAGCTGAAAACAGGTCCTCTCTGGCTCATCCTGGGGAGCGCCTGCTGATGGTGCTAGGCCTCAGAACAGCCTTAGACGCTGTACAACATTCCTGTATCCATACACAGTGTCTCAGGCATCAGACACATTGCCTGCCCCAACCAGTCCAAACCCAGGCAGAACAAGCACCCAGATGTTTCCCCCGGGAGGCTGGGGTGGCCCTTACCGGGATAACACCTGGCAAGCAGCAGGCCTGGCCAAAGCTTATGGCCTTCACTTGGGCAACAGCACTAGCCTCCTGGATGGAATAATTAGGCTCATATTCATCTTCATTTTCAGCATCAATTAATGGCCTGTGGGAGTCTTCTTCAAGGTTGTCTTCTCCTTCAGTACCTGGAAGACCTAAAATGAAAACCATGTACTGAGCACCTACTGTGAGCCTGGCATAGCGCAAAGAGCTCTGCACACCACTCCTGGAGTTCTCACCACTTTTACTTCCATCTTGTGTAAGTACCAACCTGGTCAGCTAAGGCCAATTAAGGTCACACAGGTTACATACTATTTATTACTCAGGGATGGATTATTCGCGTGCCTTTTGCTTCTATGGTTTCACTGGCACACATTCCATGTTTCACCATGAGTAATTCTCAAACTGAATCTTTATGTGTGTGTGTGGGCATGTGATGCTGGAGATTAAAACTAGGGCCTCAGGAGTGCCAGGCAAGTACTCTGCCACTGATCTATATTCCTAGCAAACCAAATCATTCTGATGAAGGGAAAAAATATCAGTTTTAAAGAAGTGAAACTAGAGCTGGCATGATGACACATGCCTGTAATCCCAGCACTCAGGAGGCTGAGGCAGGAGAATTTAAGGCCGGCCTAGGCTACCTGGTGAGTTTGAGGCCAGGCTGAATTATATAATGAGACCCTGTCTCAAACAAGCAAAACAAGTAAAACTGGAAATATATTCATGCTAATTCCTAGCCAGCATCCCAATGATAAAAATCATTTGCAAGTTAAGAATGTAATTCAGTGGTAGAGCACCTGACTGGCATAAGTGAAACTTTAGGTTTGATCCCCAGGATGGCAGAGGAAGCTTTGGCAAACACTAAGGTTTTCTTGCACGTGTAAATGGTGTGCATAACCCTCAAACACCAGCAACTGCCTGGGCCCAGCCACTGCACCTACAGCATACAAAATGCAAAACCGCTCCTATACTTCACTGCAAGGAGCTCAGCAGTCCTAGGAAAAAAAGACTCCATCCCTGAACCTCATACCCAAACTGTAAGGCTCTGTGAAAGGAAGAGACAGTTTCTCCTCACCGATCTCCTCTGGTGATACCAGGAGTCCAAAGAAGATGACGATCCCGCCAGCAAACTGCACAGATGCTGTCACCAGAAAGGCGTACTGGAGGAGAGGGAGAGGCAGGTCTCACATGGGCGCCGGCACAGGTATGGTCGTGAGAGGCACATGGGGAACAGTCAGGGAGACGGGGAAGGATGGGGACCAAGTGCTGATGTTTTTGGTTCTGTGTTGCAGTGCTGGGGATCGAAGCCAGGGCAGGGGCACTGAGCAAGCATCTGCACCCTGCAGCAGCCACACCCAGCCAAGAGCTCCACCTGTGACCCCTCTGCATTCACTGTGGAGTTCATGGCGGATCATGGGGAAGGCCTAGAAAGTACAGGGTAACAGGAGGACTGTAAAATCAGGGCTTTCGCCCTGGGTCGTCTTCTTTTGCATCTCATAGCCTCCAACATAATACACAGAGAGATCACATTCAGTTGAGGAGATGAAGCAGTACCCAAAATAGCATTCTAAAGTAGCACACAGCCCCAGAAATGAGAAGGCTCTGCCCCCATGAGAAACAAAGGAATCCAGGAAGAGGCAGCAGCTCAAAAGAGGTGGAAGCAGCTAGGGAAGAGGTGAAAATCAAAGCAGTGGCCTTCCTTCCAGGCACCACAGGAGCCAAGGTGTGGGCTGGAATGAGATGGGAGCTTCATGCAGCACTGTGGGGAGGCCTGGCCAGGGCCTGACAGGAGGCACCAAGACTGGAGCATCGACTGCCACACTGCTCAGCCGGTTTGAGATGGACAGCCTGAGTTTTTAAACAACTGACAAAAGAAAGCAGCATCCCTAGGAGCCAAATCTGGGAGCAGCATAGAGGGTAGTGTGAAGTTTTTTCATCTGAGCTGAATAGGATAACAACACAGGTGTAAAGCCAGGAACCCCAGAACACAGGTGACTGCCATAAAGTTGGGGCTTCTACTAGGCCCAAATTCCTGGAGAACCCTGCAACAATGAATCTGGTTTTAAAAGAGATACTGCCTCCATTGTAATGACTGAGGTTTCTGAGTAATACCCACATGATTCAGGTAGCAAAAAGACACAAAGTAAAAACACCGGACACACCCTTTTTCTTCCACTCATTCATTCAAGTTTCCCACTGCTGTCATTTGATTTTTACCTTCTGGAGACTGTTTTGTCTGGACTAGGATCAAACCCAGGAGACTCGTACTGAACTACATCCTTACGCCCATCCCCCTTTTAAAATTTTATGTGGAGACAGGATCTTGCTAAGTCACTCAGGCTGGGTTCAAAACCGCAATCTTCCTGCCTCCACCTCACAGAGTGCTGGATTACTGGTGCACACCAACATGTCTGGGCAGACGGTTTTTTAGAAATACACAGCTAACACACACGTATACTCATTCAGTCTCTTCAAACAGCATCATTCAAGGCACACTGCCTGGCAGCCTTGCTGTCTGGGATATTTTCAGTGCGCTGATCTTGCTCAGCAGCTTCCAAATTCTACTTCAGAGGCACAGTACCCTTCAAATGTGTGAACCCACCATCAGCTACTTCCCCTCCAGCTAACACATTTCAGTCTTGGGCTATGACTAGCAATGTTGACTCGACCTTGCAGACACATCTCTGTACCTGTGCATTCACCTGTGCAATTAATTCCTGGAGTGTGGCTCCATGGTCAGACACTGATTAACCCTTGTCGGGGCAGAATGTGTTTTCCAACAGCAGCGGCCGATTCTGTACAGTCTCATGAGCACCACAAGTGACCAACCTGCTGGATTTTACCAATCTGATACACGTAATTTTCTCTTATCATTATTATTTTTTGACTGTGTAGTTGTAATTAACACTTCTCCACCAACTAACCCCTCAACACGCAGGGACAGCCTTTTTGGCCAGTGCTATATTCTGCAATGCCTGGGAACACAAGAAGGGCTTTCGTGAGTGAATAGAGAAACTAGGAGTGAAGCTGAGTGTCTTTTTGTGTTTTAAGTCATTTCTGTTTCCTTTCCATGAACTATTCATTCAAATGCTTTATCTTACTATGTTGTCCTTTCCTTATAAATCCAAGGGCATTATTTACTTATCAGGGAGACTGTGAGTGGCAAATACAGGTGACCTTGAATACAGGTGACCATTGCTTTTGGCTTACAAACAAAAGCATTTGGCAGAATTCTGTTTTTGTTTGCAAACTCTATATGAGGTGATAAATACAACCTGGCTGTCTTTCCTGCAGAAGTGGCAAAACTTGACTATCTTATCCAAAATCATGGAACAAATTAAGTTCGTAAACTGAGGTCCCACTGTACTTTTTCTCAATTAGTTCTGTGTATTGAAACTCTTGTTAGTGTTTCTATTGTGAATAGAAATACTATTTATACGTTTGAATTTATCAGAAGTTCTTCCACTCTTAAGACAGCCTCGCCCTATTCAAACTCCTATTCAGCTCTGTAGTTTCAAAAGGGCACAGTATTCCTTTAGAAAAACTGTGTATATAATACACACACACACACACACACACACACACACACACACACACACGCTGAGAAAAAGCACCCACCTCATAGCCATACTGCAGGACAGAGGAGGCAAGGCAGGCTCCCAGTATGTTGCCCACAGAGGCACAGGCACTCCAGAGACCGAAGACCACACCTCGGCTGCAAACAAGGAAGACAGAGATAGCAATCACATCAGAAAGGCTTCTGTGCACAGTTCCAACTTTAAAGAATGCCAGAACAGTGATGATTCTCATTACAGAGAATAGTCTATTTTTAAAAATTTCAAATACACCAAAATGATAACACATCAGTTGTTTTATAACTCTAAGAATTTATGATATTAAAATTTAATTTAAGAAGGATCTGAGTTCAATTCCTGATACAAAATAAAGTAAAATTCAATTTGGGAGCCAGGTATAGCAGCACATGGCAATAATCCCAGCAATGGGAAGGCTGAGGCAGGAGGATCACCACAAGTTCAAGGTTAGCCTGGACTACATAGTGAAATCCTCTCTCAAAAATTAAAAATTTCAATTTGGAGGCATACCAAAAGACATTTAAGAAAATGTTAAAAGATAAGCCACAAACTGAGAGAATCTTTGAGTTTCACTTATCTGATAAAAGACTTGTATCCAGAGCCCGGCGTAGTGGCTCATGCCTGTAATCCCAGCACTTGGGAGGCTGAGGCAGGAGGATCATTCTGAGTTCGAGACCAGCATGGGCTACAAAGTGAGCTCAAGGCCAGCCTGAACTGCATAGCAAGACCCTGTCTCAAAAAGACAAAAAGACTTGTATCCAAAATGTAAACACTTTCAAAATTAATAACATAGATAATTCAACAGAATATTTGTTGTTTGGAGATGGTCTCACTATGTAATTCAGGGTGGTCCTGAACTTACTATGTAGCCCAGGCTGCACTAGAACCCGTAGAGGCCCTACACCCCAACCTCCTAAGTGGTGAGGATTACAGGTAAGTACCACCATGCTTGGCTTCACAGACTATTAAAAGCCACGAATCTACAATCATTTCCCAATTTAAGAAACTCTGAAAATAGGCCAAAAGACTTTAATAGATACTTTACAGGAAAATGTATGATAAAAATATTCACATGGCCTGGGGTTTGGCTCAGTGGCACAACTGCCTGCCTGGCATTCATGAGGTCATGAGTTCGATCTCCAGTACCAAAAAAAAAAAAAAAAAAAAAAAAAAAAAAATTCACATGATGCAAATAAGCACATGAAATCCTGTTCAATATCATTAGACATCAGGAAAACAAATGCCAAATAAATCAAAGTGACATGTTGCCACAAGCCTGCCAGAATGGCTGAGACCAAAGGAGACTGATCAGACCAGCTCGATGCTGGCAAGCATGTGGCGGTCGGCATTTGCACTCTGTGGGTGGGATACAGGCTGAGCACCAGGGAAGACTGATTCTCCGAAAGAGGGCAGGCCCTGCCCCACCGCAATCCGGCCACTCCACCTGCAGCTACAGCATTGACACCCGCACAGGTCCACACGGGGCCACACACAAGCACTCACAGGAGCTCTGCTTCTAAGCCCCAAACCAAAAACCCAAACATTCATCAGTAGGTTAACAGAGGCCCCGACCATCTGGACCTGAGAGTGGAGCTGCAGGCAGAAGAAAGGTGGGTCACCGAGGACACACCAAATGGCTCAAATCTTGGGACTCCAAATTCAAGTGACAGAAGGCAGGCAAGCATGAGGCGGGAAGGAGGAATTACCAGAGAGGGTTTCTCAGCCATGATAATGCACCCCAGCCAAACCCGCCCCACTGCACCCTGCACACACGGGTGGCTTTCTGTGCACCTCAGTAAGGCCACGAGGAAGACAGAAGGGACAGCAGAGGAAGAGCCTGGTGGAAATGACACTAGCTGTTCCAGTATTGCTGGAGAGGAACAACTGGCTCTGAATAAAGTCAATAGGTGTGCAGCCAGTGTGAATTTAAGAATACACCCCAGAATTTAAGAACACTTCATTTGTTTTGTTTTGTTTTGTTTTGTTTTTGAGATTGTTTCATAATGTAGTATAGGTTGCCCCTGAACTCACTGTGTAGCCCAGGTTGGCCCTGAACTCATGGTGATCCTCCTGCCTCAGCCTCCCAAGTGCTGGGCCTACAGATGAGGGCCCGCTTTAATTTTTATTTTTTTGGTACCAGGGATCAAACTCATAACCTTGTGTTTGCCAGGCAGGCACTTATGCCGCTGAGCTAAATCCATAGCCTTTAATTTGTTTTGAAGTTCCCAAATTAATGTATACATTAAACACACGTGTTAGGTCGACATGTTTGGAGTTTTTTTTAACTTTTCTTTGGTACCTGGGATTGAACTCAGGACCTTGCACTTGCCAGGCAGGCGCTGTGCCACTAAGCTAAACCCCTGGCCCCTAAGGTCGACATGTTTTAGCTCTCTACATATTTTTCTAATCTCACTGAAGCAGATGGAACATTCTAAATGAATGGAAAGACACCACAGAGTGAGAAAAGCAGTCTATAAAGTGGGACCTCTGCCACTGCCAGTCACAGGCTGATACTCAGGTCTCTCCTGTGTGTTCCTCAATGGCCTGGAGGAGTCCCACACAACTTGGGTGAAGCGCCTGATGCCACACAGATCCAGGCATTAGAGTTGCCCTGTCCACTTTCTCTGTGTGTCTTTTTTTGACACAGGGTCTCTACAGTTCAGACTGGCCTCAAACTCGCAGTTGATCCTCCTGCCTTAGCCAAGTGCTGGCGTTACAGGCCTGCACCACCATGCCTGCCACATTCATTTCTAAAAGCACAACCCTCACACCAAGAGCAGGGACATGACTGCCTAGCATAGCTATGTAGGGCTGAGATCTCCTACAATTGATTCCTTCATTTCTCTGGGCCCTCAACTTTTCATCTCCAGTTCTAATTCATCCCAGTGCTGTGAAAACACTTCCACCCATCCTGGGAACTACAGAGGACAAGACAGAAGGCCAGGCCTGAACAAAATCATGATGTGGGATGTGTGTGGCTTCCAGCAACTCGGTGGCCCTGTGGGTCACAGCTACAGTTCGTGGGAATCCATAACTGATCACTTTTTACCAGTGAGCTGACTTCCTTTCCCAGGGAGTCTGCAACGGCTTTTTGTAGCTTTTTTTTGCTTCGTGATTGAGCCACGAAAATAATGAAGTGGTCAGAGAACTCAGCTACTCATCTGAAGACACAAAAGCTCTGCTCTAATTTTTTGGATTTTGACCTCCCGGGGGTTAAATTAGACCAAAGCATCAGAAGAAGACAAAGTGGCAAAACTCAAAGGTATTATGTGTGATGAGATAACACAATTAAAATGAAAAGCAAGCTGGCAACGTAATCCTAGTGCCCTAAAAGGGATGAGGCAGCAGGATTGCAAATTTGAACCCAGTCTGAGCAATTCAGTGAGACCCTGAGCCAAAATACAAATAAAAATAAAGACTGGGGATGTAGCTCAGTAAAAGACACTCAGTTCAACCCCAAGAACCATAAAAAGCAACACAAGAGACCTTCTGGACAGTGTACCTTAGCGCTGACTCGTCTGGCGGAAGCCCACAGCGAGGGCCATACCTTATTGGATGCAAGCATCAGTGAGGTCCACGCCATCTCTGGCCCACTCCTCTTGGCCCTCCTCCCCTTGACTACAGACATGGGTGGTGTCCACTGGCTCTGACCAGACTGAGCAAATGAACACCGAAGTCCCTGTCACCGAACAAGGCAGAAGGAAGAAGCAGCATACCCAGCTTTGCCAAACCAGTTGCCCATCACAGCCACCACACAGGGCCAGCCGGTGGACTGCAGCAGGCCATTCACGATCCACAGGACACAGTAGAACCATTTGTTGTAGAAATGCAGCCATTCTGTGAGCGTGCCAAAGACAAACACCTTTGAGAGAGGAGAGTAAAGAGATATGTGACACCCCACAGGGGCTTTCTGCACACATTCCATCACCTAGCGCTTCAGAGCAGGCAGCCCTGCTTCCGCTGCTCCCATGGGCCCTTGTGGCAAGGGCCCTCAGGACAGTGACCTGCACAGGGCACAGGGTGTGTGAGTCCACTCAGGTGGGGGTGGAATCCGTCATTTCTCATCTATGGAACCGCTCAGTGGCTTCCACCCAGGGACTGCCTTGCTCTGGGCCTTTGCTGGAAGGGAGAACGCCTGGCGTGAGTCAGTAGGTGATGTACAGAACACTGTCGGACTCTAGTTCTTGGGCATCCAGAGTAAACAGGGCTTGAAGGACACGAGCAAGAGAGGACAGGTGGGGTTGCAACATGCCACACTTATCTGTGGAAGCTTAGAAATGTACACTTTTTTTTTTTTTTTTTTTTTGTCTTTTTCATTTTTATCGGTACCGGGGATCGAACTCACAACCGCCTGCTTGCAAGGCAGGTGCTAATGCCGCTGAGCTAAATCCCCAGCCCCTGGAAATGTACCCTTAAATGGTGAGTTTATGTACACATCTATTTTTTAACATTAAAAAAGCATGTATACAAGTTTAAAAAAGTGTGTAAATATGTGTAGGTGAGCATCTTAAAATAAGCGAAGTATTCCAATCCCTCAAGTTTCAAGGAAAAAAAATTTTTTTCCCAGACTCAAATGGGAGACATTTAGAATAGCAATAAATTAGGATTTAGCTAAATTCTGTGGTCTCAGCCATCAACAGATGTTCCTTACCAGAACCTGTAAGCAGGAAGGATACTCAGTACAGACGCTGCTGCTCACAACATCTACTATGCCAGGCCTTGTTATGTGCCCTGCAGACACCACCACCAGGAAGGCAGGACACAGAAGCCCTTTGAGGGTAAGAGGCCAGGTACAGGAAATCAACAGGCAGAAAACTACAGAGACCCAGCTGCCTGCCCTGGGCCTTGGCCTCCAACCACCATGCAACCCTCTCTCTGGGGAAGCATGGTGGAACCAGAAACGGCCCAGTTCTGCAGCAGGCAGCTTCTAGAGGGAGCTCAGGACCAGGAACAGAGGGTCCCCGGAGGTTGGCAGCTGAATGCAGAAAGAAGGGCAAGGACCAGAAGGAGAGGCGGAGTCAGGCTATTGAAAGGTGAAGAGGGCCACACGAGGTGGGAAGAGCAGCAGAACACAGCCCAGAGGACAGAAGGAGCAGTGTAGGGGCTCAGCCGGGGGCTCGGTCCTGTGAAAGCAGAGGGGCGACACAGAGGGACAGAGCGGAGTACACACACAGGCAGGCTGGGCCAGCCTAGCAGCAGTGAGCACCTCACAATCTCACTGGAAAGAACCTTGGTGAAAGGCACATGGGGTGGGGGACGATCTCACTGTGCTGTTCCACACGCAGAGAAGTCGGGGCACCCAGACCTTACTAAGATCACAAAAACTAACGTGCTGACTCACCACTAATGCAGATGAGCACATGCCAAAAGACAGCACCCATCTCAAGTTCAGCCGGTCTCCAACGATGCCACTGATGAACAGACCCTGAAAAGAAACCATTCCATTTTACAGCTCTAAATTGTATCCCAGGCAGCTGGTACAGTGGTGCACACCTGTAATCCCAGCAGTTGGGAGGCTGAGGTAGGTGGATCTCGGTGAGTTCCGGACCAGCCTCAGTTGGTTACAAAGTGAGTTCAAGTTCACTGAACTACAGAGAGAGTCCTTGTCTCAAAAACAAATGAATAATCAAGCCCCAAAACAAATAAATTGTACCCAGTCCTAAAAGGTAACACGCACTGATAGAAACAAGCACTCAAACACAGTTCATGGAAAGATTAATTCTTCAATATCAGCCCCACACTTAACTGAGGGTCTATTGCACTAAGTCTGGATGTGTCCTACGTATCCTGTGACAAGTAGGACAGACACTTGCTGGGCACTCTCAGCCCGTGTGACGTGACTCTCAGGTCTCAGGAGGCCACAAGGTAGGAAGCACAGGGAGACAGAGGTGACAATCAGGACAAAGGCACACATGTTGCCTGTGCTCACCTTCCAGCTACAGCAAGAATGAAATGCAACAATGGAACTGGAGAGATGGCAGATTTCAAGGGCAATCGGTTTGAGTTTCTTTTTTCTTTTTCTTTCTTTCTTTTTTTTTTTATTGGTACCAGGGATCGAACTCATGACTGCCTGCTTGCAAGGCAGGTGCTTATGCCGCTGAGCTAAATCCCCAGCCCCAGGTTTAAGTTTCTTTAAAGCTATCAAATAAAAGCCCTCACCTCAAGACAAAAGATAGATAATAAACAAATCTCACTCAAATTTAAGAGCAGATAGGATCAAGTACTTATGGTCACAAAATTTTCTTTTCTTTTGGATTTTTTGTTTGATTTTTGAGACAGGGGCTCTCTAAAAGCCTGTAGCTCAGGCTGATCTCAAGCTCACAGCAATTTTCCTTCCCAGTCTCTCAAGTGCTGGAAGGATCAAGGACTTCCAATAAACTGACTGTTTCAGAAGTAAAGAACAAGGCCAGGGATTTAGCTCAGTGGTTCAAGTGCTTGCCTGGTAAGTAGGAGGTCATGAGTTCCATCCCCAGTACCAAAAAAAAGCAGCGGAGAACAATGAGATGAGAAAGATCCTCCTCATCAGCTGCTTCCTGCTCTTCCTCCTCCTCACCTTTTCAGCAGTGAGGCACAAGCATTTAAGTAGAGCCGACCCTCTACAGATACGGCTCATGCAGCCCTGCGCTACCCTTAATAAAGGAGACAGAAAACCTCCCCACTCCTTCAGTTAAGGGAACCAGGTCTTTCTCCACTGCTCTAGAAGACAAACTGCCTGGAACTTACAAAAAGCAGTGCATCCCAGCAGGAAGAACTGCTCATTGGGCACAGTGGTACATGCACACTCGGGAGACCAAAGCAGGAGGTAAGTTTGAGGCCAGCCTGGGCTATACTACAAGACCCTATCTCAAAAAACTAAAACACAAAACACAAAATCAATGAGGGCAGCAGCTCAGTGGTAGAGCACTGCCCAGCATACTTGCCTAGCATGAAGCCTTGAGTTCAATCTCCAGCAGTATCAAAACCAAACCAAAACAAAACTCAACTGAGGGAGGGCTGAGGGTTTAGCTCAATGGTACAGGGCCTGCCTGGCAAGCGTGAGGTCCTGAATTCGATCCCTGGTACTCAAAAACAAAAAACCAAGATTAAAAAAACTTCTATGGGGGAAGAGGGAAGGAGGAAGGAAAGGGGTATAAACAGAACTGAGCTGTGTTATGTACAGCTACCAACTCTCCACAAAAAAACACAATCCTTATGTATGTACTGCAAATTTACAGCAATAAAAATAAATTTAAGGGCTAGGGGCTTAGCTCAGCAGCGTAAGTGCCTGCTTGGCAAATGTGAGGTCGTGAGTTCAATCCCTGACACCAAAGAATAAATAAATTTAAAAAGAAACTTCTAGAATCCTCAAACTTACCACAGCATAGGAGAAGAGAAAAATGGTATCTAGTGTTCCAAGAAAGAGTGTGGCATCTTCTGTGGTGGGAAATAGCCGGTTGCTGCTCCAGATCTGCAGGAACAGGACACGAGCAGGTCACCAGGGGCCCCACTTGCCAACCCCAGAGCCAAGGTGGTCAATGCCAGGTGCCACCCTCCAGAAGAGAGCAGAGAGCACGGCACAGGGGGTGTGCCCACCGCCCACCCACGGGAAGCTGTATGTTCATGGCAGGACAGGCACTGCCTCTCCAGGCGCAGGTTCTTTCCCCGCACTGCCAAGAAAAAGTAATCAATTGATCCATCAAAGCACTTAATTAACTAGGTTAACTAAATGAGAAAACTGAGCAGCAAGTATAAAAGCACGCACTTCAAAGAAATAAATTCTGATTACAATCTCTTCACCCAGGTGAATTTAAACATTTAATAAATGTTAATCCAATCCAAGAGTAGAAGTTATTTCATAGTTCTCCTTTCTTCCCCCATGAACAGGAGACTGATCCCAGGCATTCACAACACTCCACTACATCTCCAGCCCTTTTGGGTTTTTTCAGCTTTTTTGAGACACAGTCTCACTATGGAGCCCAGGCTGGTCCAAACTCATGATGATCCTCCTGCCTTAGCCTCCAAGTACTGATATCAGGAATGTACCACCACTGCTGGATAGGAATGGACAGGTTTAAACAGCACTTTTCTGTTTCACTGTCAGGATTCTGCTGAAATATACGGTCTACCAAACCAAAAACTAAAATAACCAATAGGACCAACAAAAAGATTCAGAAAGTATGATAATGGAAAAGAAAAAAATATACTTTAATAATGTAGCCCAATCAGGATTGCTATACATTACTATACTAGCAGCTTAGAAAAATTCTAGTATACGATCCTAGGCATGATGGTGCACACCTGTAATTCCTGTACTGAGGAGGCCGAGGCAGGAAGAACATAAAGGTTTGAGACCAGCCTGGGCAATGAGTGACTTAGTGAGACCATGTCTCAGAACAAAGGAGAGGCCCATAAGCTACAGCTTATCCAGGGAAACACGGGCTGTTGTGATAGCTACAGAGGTGAAATGCAGTTGGATACTGTAGTGCTTTGGAGTTTCACTAACACTACAGGTCTAGGGCCAGTGATCTGACCACAGGTTCAGAGGATAACAGTATGCAGTGTGGCATCCAGGGGGCATCTCCTGCTGAGGGCTGCAGCCAATGTTGACTCCCTAAGGTCTTGTTTTGGGATCCTATATCATTCCCATTGTTTTACTGGGTTGGGTTTTATTCTCTCTTGTTTTGATTATGTTAAAGCCAATGGCAGGAGCAGGTATTTCAAAGATAGCAAGATATATCACAGAGGCAATTTTGGATTTACTATTGGCTTGTTTTGAAACCCTTTATTGCAGTCATTGTTTTGTTTTTATTGGTTCTATTCTGTTGTTTATTGGTTCATTCTGTTGTTTGATTTTTACTACATCTGAAGTTATCTGCAGCTATTTTTTTTTGGGGGGGTGTCTTTTTTTTTTCCTTTTTATCGGTACCGGGGATTGAACTCACGACTGCCTGCTTGCAAGGCAGGCGCTTATGCCGCTGAGCTAAATCCCCAACCCCTCTTTTTTTGGTCTTTTTTGAGAGGGGGTCTCGCTATGCAGTTCAGGCTGATCTTGAACTCGCAATGATCCTCCCACCTCAGTCTCTCAAGTGTTGGGATTACAGGCGTGAGCCACCATGCCCAGCTTTTCTGCAGCTATTTTGAAGACATCAAAAGGCATTATATTATTGATTTCATAATGTCTTGAAGTCCTGTATCTCTTACATTGGTTTGTTTTGATTGGCTTTATTGTTTTATCCTAATATAATAAAAGGGAGAGGGTATCTATATGCAAAGGCCCAGGGCTCAATCCCCAGTACTGAAAAGAAAAATAAAACAGCAAAAGGAAAAGAAGAAACAGAAAGCTGCTCAGATGCTCAGAACTTGACCTCACACAGTCCCTCAACCCAAACTAACCTAAGGTCCTGAAAAGAGAGAACGGCGAGATGTTGGCACTTAGGTGGCTGCACAAGAAGGCAATTTGCCCGCCCTCTTGGTAAGCGCCCCTGGCACTGGCCAGAGGAACCAGTCAGCTGTTCCTGTGAGCCTACCCATCTCCCTCCACTTCCTGTCAGCAACTGGGGACAGAGTCCTGAGCGTATCTTGGGAGGACGACCATATGCAATATAGCAAATAAGGGGGGAGATTTCCTCCTATGTTCTGTTTTAAGGCAAAGGTTATTTTCACTGTTGTATTTTGTAATGATTATTTTGCTCTATTCAATACTCTCCTTCAATTGGTTTTACAATGGTCTGTTTGATTTCGCTATACCTACTTGACTGAACAACTATTGTGACGATAATGAGATATACTATAGTACCCATTACTACTATCCCAGTATCCTGCTGTGAAGTTCTGTACCAATGTTCTATATTCTCGATTGGCTTTATTCTGTATTGTTCTGTAGTATTTTTCTACATTCTAAATAAAATTAAAAAAAAAAAAAAGAAAGAACGGCAAAACTTCTTTCAACAGCAATTAGAGTGAGCATATAAAAAAATTCTTAAGCAGGGGCTGGGGATTTAGTTCAGCAGCACAAGTGCCTGCCTTGCAAGTGTATGCTCGTGAGTTCGATCCCCAGTTACCGATAAAAAAAAAAAAAAAAAGCTTAAGCAGAAAAATCAGCGCTCGGTCCCCAGGCAAACAATCTGAGCAGAAGAGTCCCACAGCAACCAGGGCACTCCCCATGCACAGCCCTGTTCCCCAGTGGCCTCAGGATAGCACCTGGGAACCTGGACCCAGGGAGGGCTCACACCATTCGCTGGTACCAGCAGCTCCCCCTTGTGCCTAATAATGTAATACATGGAGAAGCTTCTGGGTAGACAGATGGACCTACGCCAGTCCCAGTAAAATACCTAACAAGCTTCCCAGGTACCAACACTTCCCATGTGTTGTCACAGTCTGCACTGGAAAAACTAAAGACATCCTGGGAAAGGCCTGTGGAAGTGTAGGCCTGGTTTCCTGCGGCTTCACACCATTTGCTGGATGTCTGCCTGTGCTTTTGCTGTAATGAATCACAGTGGTGAGTGCTGCACACTGAGCCTGTGGCTCCCTCCTCCAGAGCCACCAGTCCTGGGTGTGGTCTTGGGGCCCCACTCCAGGTACCTAAGAAACAAAGGGCCCTTTAGGCATCAGGGCCAGTAAAATGAAAGTCACCTGTTCTGTGCATTGGTCAAGCTGCACTGAAGGCCACTTTTGGTGCTCAGTACCATGAAGCTACAGTTGAAGGAACTCAGAGAGATAAGTGACAACAGATACACTAAAACAGAAGCTCAGTGGTCAGCTCTGACAATGACAAGCACCAGTGATAAGCTTAGGGTACATGACCTCTCCAGGGTTACTTCTACCTTTAGGCTTTGGGCTCAGTGAAGGTATCATCTGACATATCAGCTAATGCCCATTCGCGCTCCAGCTGCAATCTGGTCCTTCTCCACGTCTAGTTTAAATTCTAAAAACCAATACGGAAATACCTCTTGCAGGAAGGAAGCTCCATAAGGACAGGCTCTCTTCTGTTTTCAAACTTCTGAGCTTTAGTGTTTTTCACATCTTCAGTATCTAAGAAAGTGCTCGTGCAAGACAGTGGCCCAATACCTACTGACTGAATAATGTACTCACTCTCAAGGGATAATCACATAACCTTCAAACGTCTGTCAACTTTGAAAAGGCCCAAAAATAGCAGTGATTTTTGAGAACTAAAACATGCCAATAATAATACTAATAGGATATCTACACTTCCATATAAAAAATGTAACTCAAGAAATGTTTAAAAGATTGAATGGGACCTATTTGTGTACTGAGAAAAGGCACTGTAAGGACAATATCCTTGTCCCAAACTGCAGCAAAGACTTTACGTGGTCAATAATGAACATGAGGAACCAGGATACACATTCCCTGACTTCAAGATATGAACAAATGGAATGATTAGGTAAATATTTAAATACTGAAATACTAAACCATATAATACACAGTGTGTAATAGTTCAAAGAAAGGAAAAATCAGAAGCTGAGGAAAAAAGCTCGATAGCCAAAGTGGCATGTTATCTCATCCACAATGGCAAAACTCAGGTGATAAACGATGAGCGAGCTTGGGGGTGGAGATTTAGCACAGCAGGCATAAGCGCCTGCCTGGTAAGTGCAAGGCCATGAGTTCGATTCCTGGCATCAAAAAAAAAAAAAAATTGGGCTCTTAAACATCAACATTAAGACATGGTGGCAGTGTAATCCCAGCACTCTGGGATGCTGAAGGAGAAGGACTGCACACTTGAGCCCAGCCTAGGTAATTCAGTGACTTAGAAAAACCCTGTCTCCAAATAAAAAATTTGCTGGGCCTGAAGGCATACATCTATAATCCCAACATTCAGGAGGCTGAGGTAGGAGGATTGCCATGAGTTCAAGGCCAGCCTGAACTACACAGTAAATCTGAGTCTGGTCAAAAGCAAGATCCCTGCTGGGGGCTATTGTTCAGATGCAGCACTCCAATAGGTACAATGGGCCACAGCAATCCTGTGATTTTTGCATGGCATCTCAGCAGCTGCCATAGCCCGGTCACTGGTACATGGGTTTTAAAAAAAAAAAAAAAAAAGTGAGATCCTGTCTTGAGAAAAAAATAAAATAAAAAACAACTGGTGATACAAGCTCAGTGCAAAGGCCCTGAGTTTAATCTCCAACATGATAAAAATAATAATAAAGCAGAAATCTCAAAGGCAAAAATATACATGACTTGTATGAAAATTAAAACATCAGTCTGGCCAAAATTGTGTGATTTCAAAACAGTGAGAAATAAGCTGCTTGACTGAAGCTTAAACACCTAAGTTTTGAGATCCGTAGAACATTCCATAGTCCTAAGCATGGGATTAAGGGGACAAAGACTTCCAGAAGCCGTCTGGGTGGGCACAGGCCTCTCTGTACCCAGTGCTCTGCTGCTCACCTCCACGGGCAGCTCTGCAGATGTGTTCCAAACACTTGGGGTCCACTGCTTGGAAATGCTGACCTTGACATTGCTAAATGTTTTTCTTGAAGCATGGAGCAATGAATAACTACAAAACAGAGAGAAGAAACAGTACAGGGTGAGGAACAAAACAAAGAGCATGCGATGAAATCACAGATATGACTGACCTCAAGCCACCGTGTGCCAAGGCCCGTCCGGTAAAGAACAGACAGCTGCCTGCTGCTGGAACCACCCAGGAGCCTCTTCCTTGGATCCTGGTCTTTTCCTCACAGTGATGCCTGCCCCTCAAACAGGGATATCCCCCAAATTAAGCATCTAAAATTACCTAGCAACTCGTATAATTAGAGAACCGTTTTCCTAGTTTGTACCTGAAAACAAAAAAACAAAGGCATCTTCTGTGGCACCTTTGAGAAAGATTAATAATGAAATTTACCCAGAAACGAGAAAAGCAGTTCAGTAACAGTTAGCTCTGACCTGCCCCAACACCCCACAGCCTGCTTTACACGATGTTTCTAGAGAGAACCACTGAGGCACAGGGTCTGCATCCACTGGGAGAGAAAGAGAGAAAAAAAGGGAGAAAGAGAGAGAGAGTAAGCCAGCCAGCCAAGTGTGGTCAGACACTTCAATAAATCCAGTATTGTGGAAGACTGAAGCAAGAAGACACCAAATTCAAGCCCAGTCTGGGTAATTTAGAAATCCTATCTCAAGTGGAAAAGGGCTGAACACACAGCTTAGGTTCAGCTTAGGCTGAACACACAACACGAGGTTCCATCCCCAGTACTGCAAAGCTAGCTAACTAACTAAATAAAAACTGGTCCCACAGGTGTGAGGATGCAGGTCAGTGGCTAAGTATAGGATTTGTATAGATAGAGCCCTGGATTCAATCCCCAGTGCAGCCAAAAGAGAATTACTAAATCAAAATGAAGTTATGCATGGTGACCCAAAGCTGTAGCCCTTACACTCTGGGAAGCTGAGGCCAACCCAAGCAATTTAGTGACTTATCAAGACTCTGCCTCAAGACAGATTGTTTTTTGAGACACGGTTAGAGGTATGGGCCACCATGGCCAGCTTCGAAATACAGGTTTGTGGGTTATTTGTATTTTTGAGACAGAGTCTTGCTATTGGCCTTGAGCTCACTTTGTACCCCAGGCTGGCATTGAACTTGCAATGATTCCCTTTCCTCAGCCTTCTGAGAAACCAGGATTACAGGTGTGAGCCACCACGCTTGGTGAAATATAGGAATTTTAGATTTTTTTTTCTTTTTTTTTTGGTACCGGGGAGCGACCTCACGACCCTGCACTTGCCAGACAAGTGCTTATGTGGCTGAGCTAAATCCCCAGCCCCCAAAAGATAGGAATTTTAAAAAGGACCAGAGGGCCACTCAATCTCCTGTACTCAAACAAATAAATGCAATTCAATTAAAATTTTGAGCCAGTGGCACACACCTGTACTCCCAGCACTCGGGAGGCTAAGGCAGGATGATTGCTGGGCTACATAGCGAGTTCAAAGCCAGTATGAAATATACAGTGAGACCCTGTCTCAAAAGACAAAACAAAACAAAAAAAATTTGAGCTAAGAAAGTTATATTACATATTCAAGGAACAATTCCCAGCACCCAAGAAACAAAAATAAAAAAACATATTCAAGGGGACAAGTCCAACAGAAGGCGGCTGGGAGTGTGACTCATGGTAGAGCATGTGCTCAGTAGGCAGAGGTCCTGGGACTTGACCCCTAGCACCAGAACCAAAACCAAACCACCCAACAGGAAGAATAACCGCGTTCGTTTCAAAGCCTACGCCAAACACAAGGGCCAGGCGAGCAGCTACCCTGAGCGCTACCTGAAGAAGGTGAGCAGGAACACAACGACGTGGTGATGGCTGAAGCGAGTGAGCAGACGTCCTCTCTGAAGCAAGCCGGGCAAGGCCATGGCCCTCGGGACCCTCCGGCACGGCTGCACAGGGTACGAGTCACATCATTCTTTCTGCGAAGATACAGCACATTTCTAACATCATACAAAACAAGTAAAAAGGCAATCCCAATTGTCTAACAGATTATACCAAACCTGAATTAATTAGATTCATGTTCAGTCAGCACATAATCAGGCCTTGAGGAAAAAAAAAATCTCATGAGCTAGCTGACCCCAGAAAACTGGACTGATAATTATGTTTTACAGTTATTTGCTATTCTGGGGCAAGTAAGAATCTTGACAAAAGATTATTTATATACTAACAGAATTTTCATATAAACTGAGAAGAAAACTACTAACTCTTATAGAAGAATGAGCAAAAGAAATGAAAGAACTTAGAAGAAATGAACTGTTAAACTTAACAGAAGTTCTAGCTGGATGTGATGGTGCACACCTGTAATCCAAGCACTTGGGAGGCTGAGGCAGGAAGATCACCAAATCGCCCAGAGATCAAGGCCAAACTGAACTGCATAATGAGACTCTTGCCTCAAAGACAAAACAAACAAACAAAACAAAACAAAAGCCCCAAACCTATTAGTAATATAAGAAATGCAAATTAAACAAGAAATTGCCTGCAGAGTTAGAAGACTGCTGGGGGTCTCTGCAAGGGAGGGCACGTGCTTGGGCCCTGGGTTCATAGGGGTGCAGGTGGTACACATGCTATCAAGTAAGGTGCCCGTCAGTACAAGACAGGAAGACCATCAAGCCATGGTCATGGACATCCCTGACACCACCTCTGACACAGAAATCCATCCACAGGAAGCAACTCCTAAAGAAGTGCGAGCTGACCCAAGTCTGTAAGCAAGGCTGAAGCATCGCAGTTTTTTATATTAAAGGATGCTGCATGGGCAGCACACCGAGGGCCGCTGTGTCACTGTTTTCCACACCTCTGCCAGCTCTGCTTGGCTTCTGTCTCCCAAGGGTACCAGCTGCTGTCTAAGAACCAAGCACAAAGCAAGCTCCTAAGTGCACCATCCCAGAGATGAGTCTGCAGCAGTGTATGCAGTAACAGGAAACAGGGCTGTCCGGCAGGGCGTGGTGGTGCACACCTGTAATCTCAGCACTCTGGGAGGCTGAAGCAGGAGGGTCACAAGGTCTAACCCAGCCTAGTCGACTTAGTGAGACATTTCTCAAAATAAAAAATAAAAATTTGGGGCTGGGGATTTAGCTCAGCGGCATAAGCACCTGCCTTGCAAGCTGGCAGTCGGTCGTGAGTTCGATTCCCGGTACCGATAAAAAAGAAAAAGACAAAAAATAAATAAATAAATAAAATAAAAATTTATAAAGGGCTAGGAATATAGCTCAGTGAGAAAGACCTGGGTTCAATCCTCAGTACTACAGTTTAAAAAGAACAAGGCAGACACTGATGGTATAGCTCAGTGACAGAACATTTGCCTAGTATACACAAGGCCCTAAGTTTGATTCCCAGCACCACAAATAAAGATAAAATATAACATAGAATAAAATGGAGAATCACAAGGCTTTGCTTTCACACACAGGTTCACTGTGACAGACTACTTTTAATTCGTCAGTAGGCTTAAAGTCAGGGAGAGCCAGCAGAAAGGCCATTCTTGCAATTTCCAGGAAAGAGAAACGTAGGGACCTAAATGGAAAGGGACTCTTCCCACCCACTAAAAAGGTCCCAGAGGGCACCAGTGTAATACAAGACCAGCTGATGCGCTCACAGGCCTCTCTGCTCACACCCTTCTAGGCCCCAGCTGCAACAGTTCCTTCCTTCCTTCCTTCCAGACAGCGCAGGATCATCACGGAATGACAGGCTTGTAACACATCAAGCAAGGCGGCTCAGAGAAGTGTGCTCACACAGCTCCTATGCAGAAAGGTGGGAAAACCGGAACACTAGTTTTGCTTTTTCTAGCTTGCTCAGGGAAGAGGGGTTCCTAGGGCTCACCTTGGGGAAGAGACTTTCTAGTATCTATATCTTGTTTTAGGGAAGAATGAGGTATAAGAGAAGGTCCTAAAAAAAAGTTATTAAGCACAGTAAGTTTATAAGCACAGTAAGACTAAGATTCTATTCACAAAATATAAATATAAATAAACTTTGTCTTTCCAGGAAGTTACAAAAACAAGAGCTATTAGTGTTGCTACTAAATTTACATCCATTCTCCAAATTAAACAAGAAACTTAACAGAACAACCCAAAACTTTAACCATCGTCTCAAAAATTATACCTCTGAACGCATTCCACCTCAAAAAAGTATACTGAGTACTTCAGGAAAGAGTACAGGATATAAAATTCAACAATTTATCACCTAAAACAAGAATTCAACAAGTATGTTCCAGGGCTGGGGATTTAGCTCAGCAGCATAAGCACCTGCCTTGCAAGCAGGCGGTTGTGAGTTCGATCCCCGGTACCAATAAAAAGTTAAAAAAAAGTATGTTCCAACACATTAGGGTCACACTGCTTTGGCAATAATAGTTAAGTCACCTGGGGCTGCACAGTTACATTAACAACTAACTACTGGGGTACTTCAGACACTGGGATCCAGTTTCTAAGTAAAACAACACTGTTTTCTTCCTGTTTAAGTAACACACCTTATAGCTGGGCATGGCAGCCCTGACCTGTAATCCCGGCTAATCTGGATGCCAAGACAGAAGGATCAAAGGTTCAAGGCCACTCAGCAACTCGGCAACTGAGTGACACTTCATCTCAAAATAAAAATTTTTTAAAAAGCTGTGATGGGGCTGGGGATTTAGCTCAGCGGCATAAGCACCTGCCTTGCAAGCAGGCAGTCATGAGTTCGATCCCCGGTACCGATAAAAAGGAAAAAGACAAAAAAAAAAAAAAAAAAAAGAGCTGTGATGCAGCTCAGTGTAAAACACTGGCTTAGAATGCCTGAGGCCCTGGTTCCAATCCCCTTTAATGTGAAAAACAAAAATAAAAATAAACTAACTTCTGTTTAAGAAGTTACAAAAATGAAGGTTAAAAAATGGCCTAGTAAGTACACTGGGAATCCGTTTTAAACAGTAATGTGCTCTTGACAGAATGCCATTTAAAATGAATACTGCTATTATAACATTTGGGCCTCTGTAATTATAATAATTACAAACAATTATCTTGTACACACAGCCTGCACATCAGAGATGACTTCTAATCATCTGAGTGCCAGAGACCCTGGGAACACAGGACATTTTGCCAAATCTAGTCATCCAGCACATTCTGCTTTCTAAAGATGACTTTCTTTAGTGCTCCAAATACAAACTGAACAAGTATCTCACATTTTTCAAGTACAGTCAGTGCTGTTACAATTAACAAAACCAAGTGTTTTCTGGTGCTTCTGAATCACAGTAGCCTGTCATTTAATATTTCTCCAGTCAATACTGAGTGCATACATGTCATGTATTTTAAAATACGTACACACTGTGGAATCCTTCAAACTAATTAATATAGATACTATCATACCTTATGATTGTGATGAAAACACTTAAACTCTATTGTGCAATTTTTACATTTAATAACATTGTTAACTAGTCATCTTGTTGTACAACAAATCTCCAGAACTTATTGCTCTTCCTATCTAAATGAAATGTTGCATCTTTTGATCAACAAATCAACTTTTCATATAAAAGATCTTTTTTTTTCTTTCAAATGAATGATCGTAAAAGAATAAAAAAAAAAAAAAAAAACTTGTTAAAAATGAGTTTGAAGCCAGCCTAGACTAAATAGTGAGTTCAAGACCACCCTGAACAACACAGTGAGACAGTTTCAACAAATAAAAATGGGGCTGGGGGTTTAGCTCAGTGGTGTAAGTGCCTGCTTGGCAAATGTGAGGTTGTGAGTTCGATCCCTGGCACCAAAAAAAAAATTTTTTTTTTAAAAAGTAAATTGAATTTTAAAAGATGACTTCACCATGCAGCATGCCCTAGCCAAGACTGCTTTGGGACTGAACTTTTCCTAAATATTTCTAAACGTTCTATGAAGGTTATTTAGACCTTATTTCATCCCAAATCTAGTAAGCTCTTCAAAGTGTCTATATCAGGGACATGGAAGAAAGTCACCTGGGAAGCGGAGAGGGCAGGGATGGCAGAGAGGGCAGGTAACACACTCAGTCCAGCCCAGCCTCTACCACACTTGGGAAACGCAAGCTGCTAGGTAACCAGCCCTGTAAGATCCCTGTAGACGCCTGGCTGTCCCTAGGCCTCTCAAGGAGAACCTCCCCTCTCACAGCCTGCCTGCCTCAGGGAACCATGGGCTGCACACCCTTCTCTTCACACCATCTCTAAACCGCTTTCCTCTTTGCAAGGCCCCGGCTGCTAGGAAGCCCAGGCCCCAGGATTTACTGCATCCCTGCCCGCCACAGCCATACTGCACTGTGCATAACCCCTGTTCCAGGCCCCCTCTTGAACAGCTTCCGAAGCATCCCGGCAGCCAGGTGGGTAAGCTCCCTCCTGAGGGCGACAGCCTCAGTCCTCATCTCCAAACATCCCTCTACAGGCAAAAGCCGGTGTGGGGGCATCAGCTCCCCACCTGCATTTCAGACACCCTGCAGGTTGGCCACTTTAACTACGCCGAGGAGTTTCCAGCGGGAAGCCTGGCATTGTCCCCACTATCCCCAGGCTTCCCTGGACCTCACTTCCTCCTGTGACTCAGCATGTGTGGCCCCTCCCTGGCAGGCCTTTCCTTCTCCCCCGCATGGTCCCTCTCCTGCCCTGCACCTTCGACACTGACACTGAGTTCTGCCACAGAAAAATCACACGAGCAGGCTGACTCTGCAGATTCAAACCCACAAACCTCAAAGACTATGAAATGCTACCGCAGAAGGCTACTCTACTTCCCCAAGACCCGCTTTCAAAACCCTGAGACTGCCATTCCACACTTCTCTTTTCATCTTCAACATCCATCTGTCCTCCTTCCCCCATTCTAACTCAGACCTGCAGGGTGCCAGAGTCACTCAGGGGACTCTTCCTGCAACTCCACCACCCCCATCCCCGTGCATTCCTCCTGGGCCACCAAGATAAGGGACTCTCAATTCTCCTGGTTTCAGCATCCATGCTTTATTAAGTGTGGTCCTTTTCACCTCCAAAACTCACTTCTCCCTCTCCACCCTCACTGCCACTGCCCAAGACAAACCACCAGCATTTACCCCGACCACTGGTGAGCCCTTATGGCACGGTTTAGCAGATGTGTCTGTGCCGGCCAGAAACACAACACACACAAAGTTATATTTACACTTTTCAATACTGAGCACTCAGTCCAGGGAATGCTAAGCTACATCTCAGGGTGCCCTTCACCCCTCTTTTTTAATTGAGACAGACTCTCACTAAGCTTCCCAGATAGGCCTCAAACTTGCAGGCGCCTGCCTCTGCCTCCCCAGTAGCTGGAACTGCAGGCATGCACCTCCACACCCAGCCCAAAATACAGTTTAAAAGTTAGTTTCTTTGATGACTTCCAAGAGGTAAACAAGAACATGGACTCTCACACTGTCTTCAAAGCCTTGGCCTCTGCAGGGAAGGAGAGTGGTGAAGGACCCGAGAGCACAGTGCTAAAAGTGCTCCTTTCACATCCTTGCAAAATCCCTAACTCTGTATACCTCCCAGGCAGAGCCACACCAGCCGAATGCAAAGGACCCTGCACCTTTCCCCTCACTCATTAGAGGCTGTAGGTCTGCCTCATGAGCACCTTCTGCGCATGTGCAGTCTCCCTGCAGGTTGGGGGGGGGGTCCTCGGGGCTGTGAACACATCTGTTTCCCCCCACACACCAAATCCTGACCCACCAAGGCCCCTCTCTTGCCCCGGGCCTCTGTGCCTGATCTCCTACCAGAGGTACTTTCCTCCTGGATCTCTGCAATGACTTGCTCCTCCTTTCTCTTCTTGGTTCATTACTTAAATGTCACCTTCTGGAGTGGCCTAAGCTGACCATGCTACCTAAAAGGGTCCCCCTCAGCGAGACATGGTGGTGCACAGCTGTATTCCCACCTCCTCTGGAGACAAGATGAGAGACTCATTTCAGTACAAAGTTCCAGGCCAGCCTACACATCACAGTGAGATGTGTGTATGGCAAATAAAATGGCCCTCTCCTCTCATCTGTTTCTGTGCTTTGCAGTGTTTCCCGCAACAAATCATCTGGTTTAAATGCTGACACGTTTACTATTCACCTATAAACTCCAGAAAAGTAGAGGCTTTCTCTAACCCAAGTCCACACTGGCCCAGAACCTCAAAGGCACTCAGAACGATCAATGAGGATTTTTTTTTTTTTTTTTTTTTATCTTTTTCCTTTTTATCGGTACCGGGGATTTTTTGAATGAATCATTTTGCTGACTGATGGCCAAACAATTTATGTACACAAAGTGCCAGGCATGTGCCAGGTACTTGGTATAAGTTTTGTATTCAGTCCTCCTAACACCCAATACTTTATGAGGTGAGAAATGAGTATAGTATTAGAAAGCAACAGTAGCCCTGTGTGTGTGTGTGTGTGTGTGTGTGTGTGTGTGTGTGTGTTATGTGTCTGTATATGATACAGGGATTGAACCCAGGGACTTTACACTGAGCGACAGCCCCAGTCCTCTTTCCAGTTTTTAGTTTGAGACAAGATCTCACTAAATGGCTCAATTCCCCAGTCTGAGACTGAACTTTCAAACCTCCTGCTTCAGCATCCTGGAGTGAGTGCTGGGATTACAGGCAGGTGCCACCATTCCCAGCAGAAAGTAACTACTCTTAAACAACTGAGTACTCAGTCAACCCCAGGCCTGACTTTAGGTCTTTTATCGTACCACAGGAAAAAAATGAAAGAAAAGCTTACTCCAAGCTGAGTAAAACAAAGTACTGGCACCATTACACCTTAAACCCAGAGGGATATACTGAGGGCCGGGAAAAGCCCACTTCGATGCTCAAAATTATCTTTTTTATTCCACACTGCTAATTTGAAGCAATTTTATCTCTACCATATAAAGTCTTTTTATACTTTTCTTATTCAAAACTCAAGTCTTTTTGTAATTTTCTTTTTGAGCCCAGGTCTCACTAAGTGGTCCAGGTTTGCCTTCCACTTGTGATACTTCTGCCTCAGCCTCCAAACTACTAGGATTACAGGCATGCACCATTTCTTAAATTGTCTCATTGTTGCAGATGTTAAATACTATTTAGTTGTAAAATCATCTTATTTTAAAATTATTTCATCTTATTTAAGGATTTCTAAAACTATATTCTCCCTATTTTTTTTAAAGCATGTTCCAAAGACAAAAAGTTTTCAAAATAAAACTCCTGGGGTAGGGAGTGTAATTCAATGGTAGGGTGCTTAGGCCTCAAGTACAATCTCCAACACAAAAATAAAAAATAAAAACCTTTCCCCTCATCAGACAAAACACAATTTCATGGTGAGTACAGGGATATGTAATTATCACTGAGATAAACCAATCAGAACCTTACACAATGAACTATGTACTTGCTTCTTTCAGCTGCACAGAGCTGAAGCTTCTTTTATTTATTTGGTACCAGGGGTCGAACTCACGACCTTGCATTTGCCAGGCAGGTGCTTATGCCACTGAGCTAAATCCCTGACCTTGAAGCTCCTTTTATAAAAAGTACTGTTTCAGAGTCAGGTGTGGTGGCTCACTCCTGTAATCCCAGCACTCGGCAGACGGCAGACTGAGGCAGGAGGATCATTGCCAGTTCAAGACCAGCCTAGGCTCCAAAGCAAGCTCAAAGCCAGCCTGAACTGCATAGAGACCCTGTAGGCATTAAAGTTCAAGCGGAAATCCAAGACCTAACACTTACTAACCTCAATTTCTTCGTGTAAGGACTATGAAATAATTTATATTAAGTCTTTAAGTACACAGCCTGTTTTGCAGGAAACGTTTAACAAATGGGAAAGAATTCAAATGCGAAGGCAGCAAACCACTCCCTTCGATAACAACTTTTTTTGTTGTTGTTGTTAATAGTAGAGATCGAACCCACGACATGCAGGCACTTCTGCCGCTGAGCTAATCCCCGGCCAACAACAACTGTTTTACAAATACGTAAATTTGTGCGAAGATGGATAAGAAGCACTGGACAAAGAAATCAGCAATTAAGAATCTGATTGTGCTCACCCCAGGAACTGTTCTCCCGAAAAAGACTTCAATAAGCTACACGACTGCCTAAGCGCTTGTATTTCAGTAAACATTAAAATACCAGTGAACACATTCCCATTATCGCCTGTCAAGATAAAGACTAAACAGACTACACTCTACAAATAACAGTAATGAGAAAATGATGAACAACCAACCAAATGGTAACACAACCAAATTCCTGGGGGCTGAAGGCATTGGGAGTTAACAAGTAGCAAAGACCAGTGACTCCAATTAAACCTTCCTCTGTCTCTAACATCTGTGCATCCTTTCTAAAAATCTTCCCCATCCTGGCCCTTCACCCCTTCACCTGGTCTAAACCCTTCTCAAACGAAAACCCAGGCTCCAAGCCCAGCAGACTGGTCGCGCAAGAGGCACAAAAACCCCCGCCGCCACGCGGGCGCGAACTCAGTCGCCGGTCTTCCTAAGGACCCCTCCCTACCTCTTGCTCACCTCCCGCTGCCCCAGGGGTCCCTGGACGCCCCAGCACCGCGGTGGCTCAGGCCGGGACAGATGGAAAGGGGAGACCGGCCCCCTTCGCCCGCACGCCACACCCACCAGCTGCCTACGGCCCCACTCTGCACAGCCCTTGGGGCCCCAAAAAACCCATCAGACCTGCCTGGGCGCCAGCTTGCAGGGTCCCACGCGCCAGGAGCACACACTCAGCCCTGTGCCAGTCCCGCGCTCCACGGCTAGCCGCAGCCCTCGCCACCTCATCCTCCGTTTAGCAGCCAGCACTTCCGGGAGCTTACGTGAGCCCGCGGGACATGCCGGGAGTTGTAGTCCTTAGGCGCTGCCTCACCTGTGTGCCACCCAGCACCTGTCGGTGGGGTGGGGGCTGGAGGCGGAGCTTCCGGCGGCCGCAGACGCCACACTAGGTTGCACAGGCTGGGGGTGCACCCGCCACGGACAGTCATTGCGGGAAAGAGAGAAATTTGGAGAGAACAGTGCACGAATCGTATTTCTCAGGAAATCATTATTCCGTTCTTTGTGACTATAGAAACTAATGAGGCCGGGGATATAGCTCAGCGGCACAGCGCCCGCTAGGCAAAGTCGTGAGTTCGATTCCCAGAGCAAAAAAAAAAAAAAAAAAAAAAAAAAGAAAGAAAGAATGAATGAAACAAACTAATGAGCTGCTTACGGAGTGTACTACCTACCTAAGCTTTAGAGGTGTTTGCTTATGGTAATTAAATGCAGTCATCCAAGCTGTCGGAGCCTTTAGTCAGCATCAGTCACCACTCTGCATGCACACAAATAAATCAATGACTGGTGAGTCCAGTCTAGAAACTTTCTGAGACACTGTCTCAAAATTTTAAAAGGGCTAATGATGTAGCTCAGTGTGATGCAGCACTGGGTTACTCTAGTACCACAAAATAAGTGAAATGAATAAAATGACAGGAAAAAAGAGAAAGTGGAATGCAAGGCGGCTGGGGTGAGGAGGCAGAGTTACTGTTTGATGGGTACAGAGTTTGAGAAGATAAAAGGTTCCGGTGGTGCTGATTTCATAACAATGTATTTAACACTATTGAACTGTAAGCTTAAAATGGTAAAAATGGCTGGCATGATGGCGCAAACCTGTAACCCCAGCACTCAGGAAGCTGAGGCAGGAGGATTGCCATGAGGCTTGGGCTACAGAACAAGTTCAAGGCCAGTCTGAACTATGTAGTGAGACCCTGTCTCAAAAACAAAAGGCGAGGCTGGGGATTTAGCTCAGCGGCATAAGCGCCTGCCTTGCAAGCAGGCAGTCGGGAGCTTGATCCCTGGTACCGATGAAAAGGAAAAAGACAAAAAAAAAAAAAAAGGCGAAAATGATCACCTATATAGTGAAACATATACATTTGTGCATATGTGTGTAAATATGCACATGTGCATATATGCATGTGCATAAGAACAGTATATCATTTCACACTATCACTAGATCCAAAGATGCCTTCTTCACACAACCAGAGCTGAGCTTTTTGTCCTTAGGATCACTCAGCCACTTGGGTTCATTAAGGAGAGGCAGAATCGCTGACCCTTCATAACCAACTAGGATGATCTTGATCTCATGGAGATCCTTCTGCCTTAGCCTCCTTAGTGCTGGGATTATAGGCATGTGCCACCACTCCAGGCTCATTTGATTTCCAGCAATGGATGCTCTCTGAGTGCTGCATCCAAGTCAGCTGGGGATCCAATTTATGACTGTGCACATGCAAGACAGAGGCTTATGCCGCTGAGCTAAATTCCCAGCTCCAAACTGGATTTTCCTAAACAGTACTCATTATCAGAAGAAAGGAAACATTTGCACCTAACTTCTCAGAAACTGACAGCCAGCGAGGTTGCTTCCTGCGGCAGCCCACACATTTGTGGTGAATCTTGACAACATTCCACTTCCAGTTCTCAGCCTGTAATGCTGGCTCTGAAAGCCACAACCCACAGCAGCGAAACTAGCAGTGTGTTTTGTTTTCTTGCTCCACTTCCAGCACTGGGTTGACCTGAAAGGAAAGTTCCTGTAAATGTAAGTGAAACTGTAGGGAACGCAAGTTTTTTTCTTGGTGGTTTTTTTTTTTTTTTTTTTTTTTTTGCTTTTTGAGACAGGGTCTTCCTATGTGATTCAGGCTGGTTTTGGGCTCACTTTGCAGTCCACATTGGTCTGGAACTTGCAACTGCCTCAGCCTCCTGAATGCTGAGATCACAGGAGTGTGCCACCACGCCCCTGGCTGCATATTTTGAAGGTTATCAGAAGGTCAGGCAAGCTAGTACATGCCTGTAATCCCTGCAGGAGGATTACAAATTCAAACCCAACCTGGAAAACAGTGAGTTAGCAAAACAGCTGGGATGTAGTTCAGCACAAAGACCAAGAATTCAATCCCTGGAACCACACAAAAAAAGAAAAGTAAATAATAATATAGTTTATCTGAAGAAATCATAGAAACAATATTCTTTTTTTTTTTTTTTTTTTTTTTTTTTTTTTTTTTGGTACAGGGGATTGAACTCACAACCTTGCACTTGCCAGGCAATGCACCACTGGGCTAAATCCCCAGCCCGGTAACCATATTCTTGGACAGGCTATAAATTATCTTCCCTTTCAGTAAGATACACATCTTACACCGGGTGTGGTGGCACACGCCTGTCATCCCAGCACTCAGGAGGCTGAGGCAAGAGAATCACCTTGAGTTTGACGTCAGCCTGGACTACATACTGAGTTCAAAGTCAACCTGAACTACATAGTGAGACTCTGACTTACAAACAAAAACACTAAACAATCAGGTTACTAAACACCCAGCTCAGTATCCTCCTTTAAGTGAACGTTCTGCTTCTACCATCCCCAGGCCAAACAGGATCCCTGTGGGGATCACAGCCCCACAGCAGTAGTCCCAGCACTCTTGGCACCTGAGCAGGACGATCACAAATTCTAGTCCATCCTGGGCGATTTAGTGACTTGGTGAGACCCTGTCTCAAAATGAAAAATCCGGTGAAATGAAAATGGTCGGGGACGTAGCCCTGAGGGAAGGCCCTGGGTTGGAGCCCCAGTGCTACGAAGGAGAAGAGAGGAGAGCAGCCAGCTGGTGCTGGCTGGTTGGTGCTCGGGCCGCTGCTCCGCGCTGGGAGGGAGCTGGCTCGGCGCCACTGCGGCTGGGCTCGGGCCGGTGGGAGGGGCTGCCCTGGCCGCCCTTTCACTTTCTCAGCCGCCCGACTACCTCCGAACACGGGTGGGACTAGAGCTCCCACCGCGCAGCGGGCAGGAGGAAGAGGGAGCCGAGGCTGCACGGGAAACCTGGAGCCCCAGCAAACAGCACCTGCTTGTGAGGGGGAGCCAGGTGAGCCGCAGGTGATCCAGGAAGGCGAGGACAGGGAACAAGGGATGGGGGGGGTGTCCGCAGGGCAGGACGGCCCGGTGGCTCCTTGAGGCTCTGGGGAGAAGGGGGGAATGAGAGGAGGGGACACACAAGGAGGGTTTCAGCTCAACTTGCAGGAATAAAACACCGGAAGTAGAAGGCTTCTTTAGATAAAAAGTAAAAAAGAAACAGTGATTTGATTGTGTCTTTAGTTTTTGGAGTCTTTCATCCACTTGTGACAGGTGGGGACCCTCTTCATCCCTCAAAGCCCAGGTGTTTACTACAAACAGATCTGGTAGTTGGGTACATTTTCATTCATGTGGTGATACGGACTTAGTCTTTTCTATGATGTTAAAGTGTTAAAAACCAAAGAATAAACCTGGGGAAATAAAAGAAAAGTGTCACAAGGCAGGAGTTATTACAGCACACTAAATTTAATTATCAGCCAGGTGTGACGGTGCACACCTGTACTCCCAGCCCTCAGAAGGCTGAGGCAGGAGGATCACTATGAATTCAAGGCCTGTCTGAATCACACTCAAGTGGGTTCGTAAACAATATAGTAATCCAAACAGCCAAACTGATAAATTTGGAATTTAATTAGCTGAGCTCAGTGACCACTGGTGAGGATCCATTTCAGAATCCCACCAAATGATCCTGAACTGGAAAGTTACAAAGCTTTTAAAACAGAACCACAAAAAGACACCCTGTTGGAAACAGTTTAGCTAGAATCTTACATTAATTTTTGGTTGACACCTGTATCCTGCTTCTTTTGTTGAGCAGGTTAATTTTTCTCTTGTGGGTACAGCTCATTCTGCTTTTCTCATAGGACTTATACCCTGAGTAATTTTCCATTTTCCTGGGTCAAATACAGGGCACTAGTTAAATGTAGGGCTCAAGATGGCATCAGTTATGCCAAGCTACAATAACATAGCAAAACCTTGTGCCAAAAAACAAAACTAATTATCCAATGGGATACGGTTTCATTTACTATCATGACATCGTTGACAAAAAAGATCAAATCAGTATCATAGGAAACAGCAAAAGCGACTTGGGCTATTCCCCTCAAGGAAAAGGTCTACTGCTTCAGTGTTCTCAGTGTTCCCATGAGCTGTCATGCGGAATAGGATTGTGGTGGGATATGACGGAGCAGGCAGTGCTCTGGGCTAGACAGATGGGAAGCCGGGAGAGACAGGTTTCACCACCCGTAGTTAGAGCCACCCCATGAAAATGAATTGGTTTCAGGTGTGGGTTCCTTGTGCTTGGCAATATCTGAGCATCAGTGGATTATTTATGTATTTATTTTTATTTTAAGGCAGAGTCTTGCTAGGTAGTTCAGGCTGGTCTTGAACTCACTCTGCATCCCCAGGCCTGCCTCAAACTCGTAGCAGTCCTTCTGCCTCAGCCTCCCCCGTGCTGGACCATCAGGCATGCATCGCCACACTCCGCCACAGGATGATGACACTGTGAAAGCCATGATCGCCCTTTCTGTTCTTCTCCTGGTACTCGGCAGGTGCGTGCAGAGGTCTGTCCTAGGTGACTCGGCCATGCAGTTCCCCAGTGCTGCCAGAGCTGCTGACGAGGATGTGGATTACCTGTTCAAAGTCATCCTCATCGGGGACTCCAATGTGGGGAAGACCTGCGTGGTGCAGCACTTCCGCTCTGGGGTCTACACCGAGACACAGCAGAACACTATCGGTGTGGACTTCACTGTGCGCTCCCTGGACATCGATGGCAAGAAAGTGAAGGTGAGAGCAGCCGGTTAGCTGTACCGCTCTCACCAGCAGACCCAGCCCTGAAGCTGTGTCCACCTAGAATGGGGACACCGGATAGGAATGCAGGCCTGGCAAGGAAAACACGCTGAGCCTGCCTAGGGGTCAGATGTGCTACGCACAGGAGATGCCACGGAGTCCTGAGGATGGTGACAAACTGCAAAGAAATGTTATCGTATGAGACTGACAAACAGCTGCCTTCTTTTCTTCCTTTCTTTCTTTTTTTTTTTTTTTTTTTTTTTTTTTTTTTGTCTTTTTCCTTTTTATTGGTACCAGGGACCAAACTCACGACTGCCTGCTTGCAAGGCAGGTGCTTATGCTGCTGAGCTAAACCCCCAGCCCCTCTTTCATATTTTTTATCCAATATTGAGCCATGACCCTGAAGTCCCCCGCAGTCCCCACACTTTTTGAGACAGGGTGTCCCTATGTGTTTTATGCTGGGCTTGAGCTCACTGTGACCCTCCTGCCTCAGGCTCTCAAGTTCTGGGGTTACAGGCACGCACTACCACAACTGGCTTCCTTAATGTTTTTTTCAGTTTCCTTTCTTCCTTCTTTTTTTTAAAAGAACTGAACACAGGACCTTCACACTAAACTATATCCCCAATTGTGAACCACCATTCCTGGCCAGTTATTTCATCAGATCCCAAATGAAATTCAACAATTTTTTATCTTTTCTTTCTTTCTTTCTTTCTTTTTTTTTTTTTTTTTTTTTTTGTCTTTTTCCTTTTTATCGGTACCAGGGATCGAACTCACGACTGCCTGCTTGCAAGGCAGGAGCTTATGCCGCTGAGCTAAATCCCCAGCCCCAATTTTTTATCTTTTCTACTGACTTTTTTTTCCGAGGCAGGGTGTTGCTGTGTCTAGTACAGGTTGACCCTGAGCTCACAGTGTAGCTGAGGCTGCTCTTAAACGTGTGGCCTCAGCCTCCAAGTTGATTCTTCAAGTTGAATGCATAAAAGATAGTGTCTCACTATCTTTTTAACTTACACTTCTTCTTTTTTTTTTTTTTTTTTTTTTTTGATTGCATAGTTGCTTCCTTTTATTTATTTATTTTTTTGGTCTTTCTCGTTTTTACCTGTACCAGGGATCGAACTCACAACTGCCTGCTTGCAAGGCAGGCACTTATGCCGCTGAGCTAAACCTCCAGCCCCCAATGTCATAGATTTGTATAATGATGCCCAAGCTCACTCTTAACAAGTGTAAGTTAAGGGGCTGGGGATTTAGCTTAGTGGCATAAGCGCCTGCCTTGCAGGGAGGCAATCGTAAGTTCGATCCCTGGTACCCATAAAAAGGAAAAAGGCCAAAAAAAAAAAAAAGGAAAGAAAATGAACCCTAAATTCTAGACCAATGAATGGTCAGGTAAAAAGTTAGAACAGAGCTCTGGGGTGGAAGGTGGGCTCTTCCCCTAGACACGACCCTTAGCTTAGGGGGGTGTGGGTCCCCATCTAACAACACACACAGCCATGGAACCCAAGAAGTAAGCAAAGAGCAAGCAAAAAGATACATTTCTGTTCAGCCTCACCTGAATTTTTTTTTTTACCTGAATTTTTTTTTAATCCTGGAGATTTAACCCAGGGCCTTTGCACTGAGCTACACTGCCAGCCCCCCTTTTTCATATATATATATTGAGCCATGGTCAGCCAGTTGTGGTGACATAGACCTGTAATGCCGGCATTTGGGAGGCTGAGGCAGGAGGACTGCCACAAGTTCCAAGCCAGTCTGGGCTAAACAGTAAGTTTCTGGACAGCCTAAACTACATAGCAAGACCTTGTCTCAAGAAAAAAAAAAATTTAAGACAGGCTCTCACCATGTTGCTAAATTATTATTTAGGCTGACAGTTTACTATCCTCCTGCCTCAGCCTCCCAAAGCATACTGGGATTACAGGCCTGGGCCACCACACCCAGCTCCAGGAAACATTCAGTAGCCAAGGTGAACATAGCCATGTTGCACACAGGGGTGAGACACAGATTCTCCCCTCAACCTTCTGCAGATGCAGGTGTGGGACACAGCGGGCCAGGAGCGATTCCGCACCATCACCCAGAGCTACTACCGCAGCGCGCACGCGGCCATCATTGCCTATGACCTCACCCGGCGGTCCACCTTCGAGTCTGTCCCACACTGGATTCACGAGGTAGAGAAATATGGAGCGGCAAACCTGGTCATCATGCTGATCGGTACGCATGATCCCTGCAGGGAGCTTCCCACTGGTGTCTCTGGTGAACACAACTTGGTCACCAGGGTTCTGTGGCAGTGGACCATGAAATCTTTTGTTTTTCCCTTTTTCTTTTCAAGATGGGGCCATGCTATGAGGTTCAGGCAGGCCTTGAACTCACTTTGTAGCCCAGGCTGGCCTTGAACTTGCAGCAATCTCCTACCTCAGCCTCCCAAGTGCTGGGATTACAGGAGTGCACCACCACACCTGGCTAGGATGTGAAATCTTAAAAATGCAAGCAGCAGGTGGGGCCTCAGATGGCACCCCAGAAATTCCCAAGAAAATCCCTGGAATCCCAGCTGATGTGCCCACTTGTTAAAAACTGCAGATTTCTGCAGGGCGTGATGGTGCACACCTGTATTCCTGGCACTCCGTATACTAAAGCAGGAAAATGAGAGCGTTGGAGTCCAGCCTGAACTGTAAAGCACATCTTGTCTCAATACACAAAACAAAAATGCAGATTTCCACCTACTCCCCCAATTTCCCACGGTGGGGAAACTGGGACGGTCAGAGACAGCTCTGTGAAGGACCCTTCAGCTTACTGCAGGCATAGGTGCTATGGTAACCACACAGGAAGAAATGCAGGGCGTCTCAAGTTAATAGCAGGTATCCCCAACATCCCTGCAGCCACTCAGCAGAGTGTGGCTAGCCAGTGACCCCTAACCACAGAGCAATATCAAAACTGACAGAAGCAGCTGGTGTGGTGGAACATGCCTGTAAACCCAGCACTTGGGAGGCTGAGGCAGAAGGATTGTCATGAGGAGTTCAAGGCCAGCCTGGGATACATAGTGCATTCAAGACCAGTCTGAAGTTCACAGCGAAACTGTCTCAAACGAAACAACAACCTGACAGAAGCTTGTGCAGCCCATGCTTGTGATCCCAGCTACAACATCAGCTACTCTGGAGGCTGAGACAGGAGGATCAGCAGTTCAAGACTAACTTGGGGCTGGGAATTTAGCTCAGTGACATAAGCACCTGCCTTGCAAGCAGGTGGTTGTGAGTTCGATCCCCGGTACCGATAAAAAATGAAAAAGACAAAAAAAATAAATAAATAAAGACTAACTTGAGCAAATTAGCAAGATCTCATCTCAAAAGAAAATAAAAATGATGTAGCTCAATGTTAGCATAAAACTCTGGGTTCAATCCCCAGTATTGAAAAAAAAAAAAAAAAAAAGAAAAGAAAAGAAAACGATTTTATTCAGGCCTTGTGGCAAACATATATAATCCCAAATACTTGGGAGACTTAGGCAGGAGGATTTTGAGCTCAAGGCCAGCCTGGGCAAGGTAATGAGACTTTGTCTCAAAATAAAAAAGCTCTGAGGATATAGATCAATAGTGGAGAACTCGCTTTGCATGTGCAACCCCATGAGTTTAAAACCCACTACCACGAAAAATCAACTAAAACTACCTACCCCAATACTCTTCAAATGGTAGATGGTTAAACAAATATCTATATTATGGAATACTATACAGCAATGAAAATTACCACTGATACACTGAAACTGAATTGCTGATTCCATGTGGATGCTGTCAAGGAAACTAGGATGAGTGGGGGGGGAACAATCTCAGAAGGTATACGCTGCCTGCTTTCATTTGAGTAACTTTATTTTTTTGAGATAGGGTCTTGTTATATAGTTCAAGTTGTCCTTGAATTCAAACTTGCAATCCTCCTGCCTTAGCCTCCTGTGTGCTAGGATTATAGGTGTGTGCCCCCATGTCTGGCCTTTGTTTTTCTTTTTAAGTATTGAACCCAGGGCATCACACATTCATGGTGGGCAAGCAGGTACATGGGACAAAGCTCACCTAACTGTTTACCCAATCTGTTCATTGTATGTAAATTATAGGTATCTAAAAAGCTTTTCTTCCTCAAGCCCAGAAAATCCTGCTCATTATCCTCAGCGGAAGGCCCCATTGTGCAGCATCTGAGAATGAACTTGGAGTTTGGGGGGAAAGGAGTGCAAAGAGGAGCACGATTTGTTGAAAGAGGGCGGGCTGACGGGGACATGCTGGCCCTTCTGTCCCAGCCAGTATCATATACACCACCCCTGTGACTCTTCCTAGTTCTTAAAGATCTTACAGACTGGAAACCAACCTCTGAGGGTCTTGCTTAGATCTCCAAACTGACCAGGCTATCGTCCTGCCATCTTCCTGCCTCAGCCTCCCTGAGTGCAGGATTACTGTACAGGCATGTCCCACCATACCTGGCATAAAATGCTTTTCTTGAGTTCATTTTGAACACAGATGAGCTAGGTCACTTTGTGGGCTATGTCCTTGTCCCGGTCCCCAGGAAACAAGTCGGACCTGTGGCAGCAGCGGCATGTGCTGTTTGAGGACGCCTGCACACTGGCTGAGAAGCACGGGCTCCTCGCTGTCCTGGAGACGTCAGCCAAGGAGTCCAGGAACATCGACGAGGTCTTTGTGCTGATGGCCAAGGAGCTGATGGCTCGCAACAGGCTGCAGCTGGACAGTGAGAGTACCATGCACAGCCTTGCCCCTGAGTCCAGCCCAGTGCTTCTGGCCCAGGTTCCCTGCGAGAAGCCCTGCTGTTCCTGCTAAACAGGCAGCCATGCCAGCAAGGAATCTGTGGCCCAGCCTCCATGGAGTGGCACTGCCAGCTGGGCACAGCCTCACCTCTCCTCCCTGAGGCTCCAGCCTGGGAGGCAGCCCAGGGGCGTGGATTCCCATCAGATGCCAAGGAAAAGGGACATCCCTGGCCTCGGGGCTGCAGGCACAGGGGCAGAGAGCGTGGTTTTCCCTACCTCTTTCCCTTCTCTGTCTCCCTCACACTCCAACTACTGTTTTATTTTATTTTTTTGAGACAGGGCCTCACTATGCAGTTCAGGCTGGCCTTGAACTTACTATATAGCCCAGGCTGGCCTCCAACTCAGTGATCCTTCCACCTCAGCGCCCCCAGTACTGAGGTTACAGGTGTGTGCCAGCACTTGCTGGCTACTCCAGTTGCTTTTTGTTTTGTTCTCTGTGTGGTTCAGGTTGGCCCTTGAACTGATAGCAATTCTCCCAAGTGCAGGGATTACGGGTGGATACTGGGATTATGGGCGGGTGCCACAAGCCAGCTCCAGCTGCTTTTCATTGGGTTTTGCTTCTCCACTTGAGGAAGAGGATAGTGAAGGGAAGAAGGGAAGAGGACTATGGAGAGAGGGAGAGGATGTCCAGAAGATTCTGAGACAGTTTGAAACTCAGGCAGGCGGTGGGGAAAAGCCTTCCAGGAAACCTCTAATGCTGCCAGCATTGTGGTACAACCATTCACAGGCAGGACTCCTCTTTGAGGAGCACGACTCGATCCCAGTGGTACCCTCGTCACAGGAACCATCTGAGGTAGATGGATTCTCTGCATCCTCAGTGGGGTGATTTAATTACCTTGTTTTTTTTTTTTTTTTTTACTGGTACCTGGGACCGAACTCACGACCACGTGCTTGCAAGGCAGGCACTTATGCCGCCGAGCTAAATCCCCAGCCCATAATTACCTTGATAGGAGAAATGCTCACAATTTTTTTCTATAATGTGGCATTATCTTAGATCAAAAGTGAATTTTTACTGAAATTACACTGGCTCAGACATACCGATTATCCAACCAGGATTATGTTGTCTCCTGGAAGCTCCAGGAGGCCGCGGCCAGTAGGGGTGGGGCAAGTGAGCCAGTGTGGGATGCAGGCATCCAAGGGTTTCCAAACCCTGTGACTGGGACCAATCAGAAGGCACTGTCTTCAATTCTTCTGGTGTCAGATCAACCAGGCTTTTGATAGGCAGGCTAGATCTGAGGTCACCTGGAGGAACGGGAGCTACAAGACTGCAGCCACTAACCCGACAGCCACTGTGCTGTCTTTCAGCACCCGCTCTCACCCTGCAGAGGGGACTTCTTTTCCTACCTTTAATAAATGTAAAACTTTACTAAATTTTGTGCTTATCTTGTCCAATTCTTTGTTCAGAATAAGAACCTGGAAAGAATCTGTGGAAGGAGCCCACAGCACCCCAGGCCCCACTAATAACCAGGGAGCGGCCAAGAGTGGTAGTACATGCCTGTATGCCCAGCACTGCGGGAGGCCGAGGCAGAAGAACACAAGCTCAAGGGCAGCTGGCAGTTTAGCAAGACTCCTTCCCTTCCCTCTTCGGTTATGCTGGACTGGGGACTGAACCCAGAGCCTTGACAGGGAAGCAAGCAGTCTGTCAGCTGTTGGGCGCAGGCGCTCAACATACCATACTCCACCCGGGACTAAGGACCACGTCAGCTTCCGCAATGCGCTACGTCCCTCTCCAAACTAGCCACCCCGTGCTCACTCCGTATTCTCCCGGTGCTGACTCTGTGGCAACCCCTGATTGACCACAGCTGGGTATATTAGCCAGAGCCCGTGTCCCATTCCAGCCCTGCCTCCTCGTGAGCAGCTCTTGTGGCAGCCTGTGATTGGTCACAGCCGAATATATAAGCCAGAGCCCGCAACAATAAAGCGGCAGTTACCTGTTACCCACAAGAGCGTCCTCTGTCTCATTGGGGGGCTGCGCAGGTCACTAAGCAACATCCCTACCCCTGAGACTCTATCGCGAAACTTTAAAAAGTATTTCTTTTAAAAGGTCCTGGGTTCAATCTCCAGTACACCCCCACCCCTGAAAAAAAGTATGTGGCCAGAGAGCAGCTGGCACCTCCAGGAGGTGCAGGAATGGATTTGCAGAACAGCAGCAGAAGTAAAGGAGGGCTGGAAGAGCCCTGGTACTCAGGAGGACTGCAGGGGCCCCTGGCAGAGCCCCAGGGCGCTGGACACACACCTGATGGAGACAGCATCTGCAGCTTCTGCTCTGGAACTGCCTCCACGGGGCAGAGGCTTAGAAACCCACTGGCGGGCAGCCCGAGGCCTACAGGAGAGGAGGTGCTTTAGCCATAGCCCGTGTGGCCTGGGCTGTGCTCTTCCTTCATGGTGGCTTGCAGTTCCTCTCTTTCCCTGCTTCCCTATTCATATCTCAGGATAGCACTTTCTTCTCTTTTCTTTTTTTTTTTTTAAAGAGGGTCTTTTTTTGGGGGGGGGGAAGGATCAGGGATTGAACTCATGATCTCACAGTTGCCAGGCAGGCACTTATGCCACTGAGCTAAATCCCCAGCCCCAGAAAGAGGGTTTTGCTGGCTTCCAACTCACTATGTAGCCCAGGTTGCCCTCAAAGTTGAGATGATCTTCCTGCCTCAGCTTCCCAGAGTGCTGGGATTACAGACATGGGGCTCCACCCCCGTTTTTGTTTGTTTTTTGACACAAGGTCTTGTTATGTATTCTAGGCTGGCCTCAAACTTGAGGTGATTCTAAGCTGCTAGATTTACAGGCCAGGCTGAGTATGTTTTTTTTTTTGTCTTTTTCCTTTTTATTGATACCAGGGATCAAACTCATGACTGCCTGCCTGCTTGCAAGGCAGGCCCTTATGCCGCTGAGCTAAATCCCCAGCCCCCAGGCTGAGTATGTTACAAATAGCACAGCTGTCTGTCCCATTGCTCTGGCTGGCTTCTGGTGGTGCCACCTGATCCCACTCTATCAAAATGGTCTTTGGGGGCCAGGGGTCTAGTTCAGCAAGGCACAGTGCCTACCTGGCAAGTATGAAGTCATGAGTTCAACCCCTAGTACCAAACAAGCAAAAAATCCCTAAATGGTTCTTGGGGTGGTGATGTAAGCAGGGGCCATCACTAGGGTTGGAACCATGCTCTTTGGACCCTTGGCTTCCAAGCCTGAGAGCAAACTAAACCTCTTCTTTGTAAATTGCCCATTAGACGCCACAAGCAGCGATGGCAGCCCGGCCAAGAAGGCAGGTACTCCACATCCATGCGAAGCTCATGCTTCTGGGTCACCCTGCTAAGCCTGGGACTTCAGTCCTTCTGCCTCACTGAGGCCTGGGATCCTCCTCCTGGGCCAGGATCTCTGAGAACCTACAGGGACAACTGCAGGTCGGCCCAGTGCTTGGCAGTGCACTCAGCTTATCCCAAAGCACAGAAAGACAAAGGCCTCTGTGTCAGGTGGTGGCTGTGCCCACCCAGGATGCCTGCCCAAGACTGAGGTAGGTCTGACAGGAAGGACAGCACAATGCCAGCATCTGGGAGAGTCTCTCCCCTTTCTGTTAGGTTAGCACACAACTGGAAGGAGTGTAACTGTGTGCCGGAGTGGACGTGTCCCAAGATTCTGCCAGAAAAGCGCTAAGACTGATAATAGTAACAACAATGAAATACAGCTAGAATAATTAAAGTTAAATGAAAGCAAAAACAAAGTCCATGTGTTTCCCTGGGCGCCCTGAGGTTAGGGGTGGATAACTCAGGCCTTGGGCTCCCAGCCCAGGTGGAGCCAGGAGAGGACAGGGCAGTGTCCTCTAAAAAGCCAACAGCTGACGATGAAACCCTTCCCTCCAAGACGACTTTGGGCCATGCACCCATCTAAGCAGGTCCTGGATAGGCTGGAAATGATTACAACTGCAGGACACAGTCACCTACAACACAGGTGGCTGCTCACAACTGCATTTCATGTGTCCACGTGTGCCCCACTCCTAGGAAGCTCCACAGCTGCCAGGATGCTGGACTCTGGGGTCCTCTGCAGGGGAGCCTGGAATCAACAACCTTCCTGTGTGAAAGTACAGTGCCATGGCTGGACCCACACATGTGCACTGGAAGGGGCCCAGAGGCCTGCGGGGTGGAGTGGCTTCTGTGGGCGAGGGCTCACGAGGGCTCTGTCTGCTATGAGGGACCAGCTTTCCTAGAGCTTGGCTGTCACCTGAGTGTGCAGTGAAACCACGGCAGCAGGCTGTGAAGGGAATTTGGGCATTTTTCTCAGGTCCCAGCTGTGTAACCAGTAACGAAGGCACACGAAAATAAATTCTAAAAGGGATGCTTGGAAGAATAAAGAGATTATTAAACATGAGGTGGTTGTGGTGGTGCATGCCTATAACCAGCACTCTGGCAGGCTGAGGCAGGAGGATTACCAGGAGTCTTGAGATCAGCCTGAAATACATAGTAAGACTCTGTCAAAAAACAAAAATAAACAAAAAAACTGGGCGTGGTGGTGCACACCTGTAATCTCAGCACTCGGGAGGCTGAGGCAGGAGGATTGCTGCAAGTTTGAGGCTGGTCTGGTCTACAAGTGAGTTCAAGGTCAGCCTGAACCATATAGTGACATTCTGCTTCAAAAAGACCAAAAGAAAAAGAAAAAAGAAAAAGAAACCCTCAATATTTTTCTCTGCTACTGTCACATGTATCCCCTTGTATAAGGAGAATTTTGGTTAATATCTCAGGCCCTGAATCAGACTTACGAAGTCTACTGTTAGTGAAAAGACCATACTAGTGAGTGACAAACATGAACAGCAAATGACTGCATCAGAACACAGCGTGCCACATCAGCTATGTTTGGAGGCTGAAATACCAGAATTTCTATTTTTTCTTTTTTTGGGGGGGGGTACCATAAATTGAACTCATGACCTTGTGCTTGCCAGGCAAACACTTATGCAGAATTTGCACTTTTTAAAATTGGTACACTTTAGGTACAATGATCACATTTATCATAGGGAATTTGTACCTGTACATGATATATCTTGATTTTTTCCTCCATTCCCCCCATCTCCGTTTGACCCCTTCCTCTCATTTACAAAGCTTGCTTTCCATTTTACCCTCCTTTTCTCATTTTTTATTTTTACTTTTATGTTTTGAGATAGGGCCTTGCTATACATTTCAGGCGGGCCTTGGACTATGTAGCTCAGGCTGCCCTCAAGCACAGCAATTCTCCTGCCTCTGCCTCCCAAGTGCGAGGACCATAGGTGTGCGACACCAAGGCTGGCTTTCTCTCGTTTTCTTAGAATACTTATTTTTAAAATGAGGCTGGTCAGGGATTTAGCTCAGAGGTTCAAGCACTTGCTTGGTAAATGTAAGGTCGTGAGTTTGATCCCTGGTACCAAAAAAAAAAAAAAAAATGCTGAGGCAAGAAGATCATTGCAAGCTTGAGGTCAGCCTGGACTTCAAAATGAGTTCAAGACTAGCCTGAACTGCATAGTGAGAATATATAAAAAGACAACACAAACAAAACGCTATGGAAGTTGGGATGTAGCTCAGCGGGAGAGCATGTGTCTACGCAGTGTGCTACACAGGGCTCACTACTGTAGTGGAGAAGATGCCAGGCACAGGGAGGTTAATTTTTTTTTTTGAAACAGGGTCTCGCTGTGCAGTTCAGGCTGGCCTTGAGCTCACTTTGTAGCCCAGGCTGGTCTCGAACTTCCAATGATCCTCCCAACTCAGCCTCCAGAGTGCTGGGATTACAGGCATGAGCCCAGCCCAGGGAGGTTAATTTCATACAGCTGTTAAGTAGCAGAGTCAGGGTTCAAACCCAAGCAATCTGGTTGTATAACCAATTCTTTTCAGTTGTACGGGGGATTGAACTCAGGGGCGCATTACCACTGAGTGTCTTCCCCAGCTTTTTTTATTTCACAGCCCTGCAACCGCATCTGGCTGGGAACCTACTCTATAAAACAACTGTGCTCACTCTTTCTTGAGTCCCAGCTGGTGGCAGGTTTGGCTCCATCATATTAACCTCTGAACATCACCTGAGTACACACATACAACTCAACACCTTTGAAACCACCCAGCAAGGCTGTCTTGGGAGGGAAGGGCAGCTGAGAAGAGTAAAGTCATCTAATTAACTCCAGGGATTTATGGGGAGCTGGACCTGGGTGTGCCAGGGTCACTTCCAGTTTTACTGTTTTGTCTTTTAGTGGGGTAGCACCCTAGATTGCTAAATTGCATTTGAGATCCTCCCTGCTTCAGCCTCCCAGAATGCTAGATCACAGGTGTGCACCACCACACCCGGCTTCACTCCTCGTGTACAGGCCTGGCACTGAAACTGCAGCCCACTTTCATGCTGGAGCCAGGGCAGGCTGGGGAAGTCCCAGGGGA